CACTCTGTGTCCCAACTCCAGTCCCCCCCTCTATTAACCCTCCCACATTCCCTCCAGCTCCAGAGCTAGCCACTCTTGCCAGTCTGCCTTTGCACTTGGCACTGTGGCTGTGCCATGTTCCGACCTGCCTTGTATAAGAGTTCTCTTTGATGTTTTCCTCAAAACCCATTCCTCTCCATCTCAGAAAATCCACCCAGTTTCTCAGGGCAAAAACCTAGGCTCATTGTTGTCTGTTTCTCTGCACACTCCCCGACCTCCACTTGCTCTAGTTAAAAAAATATGCCATGTTTGCCCTTTTCTCCCTGTTTACACTATCCTTCCAGTCCAAGACACCATCATCTGTAGCCTGAATCGCTACAATAGCCTCCTGACCAGTGTTCTTGGTTTCAGTCTTTCCCCCACACTCCATTCCCATAGGTAACCAGAGTAATCGTCTTAAACTCTGAGTCACATAATGTTATTCCCTGTCTTAAACTCCCAAAGGTTTCCCATTACTCTTACAATAAAACCTGAACTCATCCTTATGACCTTCATGGTCCTACATGACCTAGACCCTGCCTTGTGTTGTGGGCCTCATTTCCTGCCGTTGTTGTCTTTCTCCATTCCTTTCTGCCACATGGGTCTAGTTACCACCCCTGAAACACACTGAGCTCATTCTCACCTCCAGATCTTTGGTTTAGCTCTTTGCTTTTTCTGGAATATTTTCTCTTGATTTTCCACTGGTTGGCTCTTCCTGGTCATCCAGGTCTCAGTTGAACTATTACCTCAGTGGGGGCCATTCCTTGATACCACATCTAAAGTACTCTGCCTCCCCACACACGTTCCAGTCATCCATCACACCACTGAATCTTAATTTTTCATACTTGTCACTTGAATTATCCTCTTTTAAGGTTCATGTGCATATTGTAAGGTTTACATGTGTACAGTAAGGTTGTAATTTTCTTACTCATTTCTCTGTCGACAGCACCTAGAATAGGGCTTGGCATGAATTCCATGATTAATGGTTTTATTATCATCTTTGTATCAAACATACCCCAGGTGTGAGAAATTGTGCTAAGTGGTACTTAGTTTTTGCCACAGTCTCTTGAGCTAAATACTATCACCCATTTATAATGCAGAGCTGAAGTTCAGCGAGTCTAAGTGACTTCCTTAATATGAAAAGGATAAGTGGATCCAGATGCAGTGGCACATGCCTGTTATCCAGCAACTTGTGAGGCTGAGGCAGGGGGATCTGGAGTTAGAGGCCAGCCTCAGCAGCTTAGCAAGGCTCTAAACAGCTTGGCAAGACCTTGTCTCAAACTAAAAAAATAAAAAGGGCTGGGCATGTGACTCAGTGGTTGAGCACCCCTGGGTTTAATCCCTAGTAACCCCCCAAAAAAATATCAGAAAGAAAAAAGTTCTGAAGTATGGGACTGAAGATGTAGGGGATATTTTCCCAGAAAGAGAATAGTGACACTTACAAACCGAGATAGCATGATGCATATTCATGACTCCACAAACACATTAGCCTATTGAGTTCCTAGCACTAGCCAGGCTCTGTTCTAGGTGCTGAGGATTCACCGCCTATGAGAATTCCTCGCCTCCATTCCCTCTGCCAAGCAAAAGGCTTAGTAGAACTTTCTGTTGGGGGGCCAGAGGAAGCCAAGTCTTCTGTCAGGCAGTTAGAAGTCAGACATCAGCCAAAGACAACACCCAGGACTGTGCCTCTGAGGACCTGCAGCAGGCCCAGGTGTGTTTATTTTGGAGGGGACTAGATGAAAGAGAGATCAGGATCTTCCAAAGATTGAAAAACAATCAACTCATTTCTAAAACCTCAACTACCTGAGGTAGACAGAGGTGAGTGGGGGTGTTCCTGTTGTTGTTTCAGTTTCAGCCAAAGGGAGAAACTTGGATTTCATCCCTTTGTAGAGCACAGAGTACCTTCCGGAGATCATGGGAGCCCTGTGGTTGACCCATCAGAGGTGAGACAGAGCTTGGTAATGGAAGGCCATCCACTGGAAAATATTGCCTCCCCCAGAGATGTCATCCCTGCTGCCTCCTGGCTGGGCTCCACATGCCTGTATGGCTTACTGAGAAGGAATGCCAACACCCAGCAAATGATTATGGAATTAATTCTTTGTACTCCAACTAGATCCAGTTTTGAAACTTAAATTCTAGTTGGATTTCCACAGAACCAAACCAAAAAATGAGAACAACAGGCATGGCAATTTGGACACATTCCCCTTCCATTGTGGGATCATAACCAGAGGACCCTGATATATTCTATTACCATAAATGATTCAGGACAGCAACAACCAAGATCTAATCTCTTAAGGGGTTCACAGACCACATGTGAAGGAGTCTAGTTAGATTCTGTTGAATTGTGGTGATAGAAGAAAATATTAGGCAAAGAGAAATATTTAAACTCCAGAAAGCAGTGAATTTGGGTTTTTCTTTGCAGAAGAAATAGGCAACAGCCTTTTCTCCATCTTAAAGAACAGAGGTTTTCTCAAATTAAGGACCTTCCAGTTCATTCTTCACATTGCCATCAGCAAACTCCCCGTTAGGCAGACCAGAGTCAACGTACCTTTGTGTCGTACCCATCAATGGCTTCTCCCCTGCAAACACTCAGCAGAGCAACCATATTGTTCTGTGTCCCATCACTCAGCCTGCTGTGCTCAGCCATCTCTAGACCTTGAACAGCACATGCTGTTCCCTCTGCTTGGACCCATTTCTCTCTGTCTAGACATGGACAGGTCCCCCAAGCAATGCTTACCCCTGCCCCACCATCCTACTTTGTCTTGTCTCCCTGTAGACTCTGTGGGGACAGGAAACATATGTGTCTAGTTTGCCTTTGGATCCCCAGAGCCTAGTACATTTCCTGGCACAAAGTGAGAAGAGGAAATGGACTCTTCAAGTTAGACTTTTGTCAATCTGAATGATCTCTGTGTTGCCTTAAAAGCCCGGAATAGACTAGGAAATGAAGATGGGAGAATAACAGGGTAGGAATGTGCCGAAACTGCCTAAGAGAAGCAGGAGGCATGTGCCCCTCCTTCTTTTCCCTTCAGCTTATCCAGCTCTTGAACTGATGAGCAAGATCCACAGATATTTTTTGCTGACCACAGAAGAAGAGACTATAAAATTCAGCTTCCCATCTGGTTCTTCATGGTCCAAGAAAATACAGCAATTTCAAACTCCGGGGAGACAAGCACTCAAATCATGAAAGCTTAAACCTAGCCTGTCGTAGAATCCCCTAAGAGCAGCATGAATTTGACTCAGGAAGAAGAGCGAAGGAAACATCATTTACTTTATAAGGATCGATTCCCTGGAGACCCTCTAAGGGGATGAGTTTGATGTTTCCATATGGCAATTTCCCCCTCTGGCCTTCAGAGCCAACCTGCTCAGTTCAACAGCTGGTCCTTGCTTCCCTCTCTTTCTACTCACGCCAACGTGTTCCCAATCTTGAGTCCCATCATCAGTTCGTTTCGCAGACGGGGCTGAGAGTGGAGCCTGGCTTTCTAGTGGGAGTGATTTAACATCTGTCCTCATCCACTGTCCAAAACCTGGCTGATACTTCAATGCAAAGATGATGTATTTGCTTTTTAATGTTTTCTGTTAGAACCAGGGTTAACTGAGAATTGCTGGTGAGAGATGAAAAAAAGAATCGACTCCTCCCATATCTAAAAACAGCCTACGAGGCGCTCAGGCATGCTCAGGAGTCTGTCTGCCTGATTTCATTCCTCTGGCCACAGGCACACCTCTGTCCCTGACAGGAAAAAAAAAATAGGGAAAAGGTTTTGAAGCCATCCATAGGCTGGTCTCCTGGAATTTGGGGCCCAACCAGAGAAGGGAATACTCAGAAATGCCAGAGCAATGCCAGCTCTGGAGAGGTTTGACAGCCGGTTTGAGAGCTTCAGGCAGTTTGGATAAACATCTAGACTTTGAGTACATTTCTGAGCCTGCTCTGTGATCCATCCCTTTGAAGTTTATCCAAGTTGAATAAACCTTCCCCAAATCTGGGGCCAGTCAAAAAGCTTTCTTTGGAAGTCCCCTGGCCATGCCCTGCTGCCTTCTCACAGGGCAGCCACAGCCCATCAGGACAGGCGATCTGAAAAGTAGAGAAGGAAGAAGCTTGAGACAGAATACTTTCTGTAATGTTCAATTCACTCTTTTTTTTCTTCCTTTCCTTTTTACATACGGAGAAGGAGACAGCAGATGGGTCACCAAGCCTCCATTGGACTTTGAGGACCACAGGCTTAGATCTGATGGTGGCTTGCCTGTGACCCCTTCTCACTGATCCAGCCTGGCTGTCTCTGAAGCCCTAGGCTAAGATGTACAGGAAAAGAACCACACATGTTCAAATAACAAAAGATGCCATTTGCAGTCCAGAAAGTCATTGCCTGCAGCTGGAGAGCTGGTGACAGAGCCGTGCACTGGGATAGGCGGGAGGTTCCGTCTCATTTCTCCGAGAAGCAGTCCCTGGTTGCCTAGGCAGGGGCTGGAACCTGTCTTTTCTCCTGTTGGCCAGGATTTCTAATCACAGAATTACTAGAGCACGGAGAAGAGCCTGGGAGGGTTTCCAGGTGGACGAACACACCTCAGCACTGGGTGGCACCTCCCAAGATACCAGCTGGATCAGGAAGTGAGGAGGGTGGGCAAGGATGGGTGGGGTACCACACACTGTTTCCTTAGGAAAGAAACAGGGAGGGTCCTTTACAAGCTGGAAGTGGGGTCTTCAAACCTGCTTTTGGTTCCCTTGGGAGGAAAGACTGAGCAGATCCCCAACTTGGAGCAAGTGAGCCATGAGGATAAGACACAGGCCTGGAGGACCAAAGGATGAACCAGAAGCATCTGGAGAGGGAAATTAAGCTGGGGACATCCTATACAACAGCACCTCACTACGCCTTTGGCTGACCATGGACAATGACGTCTTTGTGGCTCTGGGACCAAATGAGAAGAAGAGGATGACTGGGAGATGTGGCTGCAGCACCAGGGGAATCCCACTACAAGTGGGACTGCAGATAGTTTTATTTCTTTATTGTTAAAAAAATATTAACAGCAATTAACAATAACAACATCAACCACACAAACATTCACAACCTATCATAGAGTCCTGAACGCTTTGGCCAATTATTCCCAATGAAGTCCTTCATCTTGTGGCAGGTGGCGATTTCAGCCGAAAGGCCCCTTCATGTTTTTCATGGGTGGGTACTGCTGCTCCATTGGCATGGCCCCAAAGCAGTCTGAGGGGTTGCAGTGGCCGGCCTTGCCTGGCTGGCCCATGGGACCTGGTGGACCAGGGATGCCAGGAATGCCTTGCTGGCCCATCGGCCCAGTTGCACCCATCTTGCCATACCCTGGAGGCCCCTGAGGACCTAGGGAGGGAAGAGTCACAGAAGGGAAATCAGGAGACCAGATCACAAAAAGAAAAGAAATAATGGTCATAGTTAGTAATATATTTACATTTGATGCATATTTGTCAAGTCACAACTTGTTTTTGTGAAAACCTGATCTGAATCTCACATTGATCTAACAAGGACAACCATACCACTGGCTCATTTTATTGAGAGCTTCTGTGACCATGCAGGGGGCTGGGTGATTTGTATGCATTAGTCACTGAATCTGCACAACGGCTCCTTGAGGAGAGAACTATTATCTAATTTTGTGGATGAGGACACAGGCTCAGAGAGGTTGCACTTCAAGCTAAGTAATAGAGTTGGACCTCAGAGCCAGGTCATCAGACTTTGGCTATTCTCTTTCAGGCTACATTGCCATGCCTGCATTTTTGAAAGCGACGCTGAGGACCTAAGTGACCTCTTCAAGATTACACAGCCAGTAGGATGCCGAGCAAGACTTGAACTTGGGTTCCTGACTCCCACCGTGTACAGCTCTCTCCCACTACATCATGCTAGCTCAGCTTAGAACTAAGGACAGAAGCTGGGTCTTTCTTTCCACCCCTAGCAGAGTGTCTTAACACAGTGACATTGCTGTAAATGATGGATGACTGCCCTGTAGATATTTGGAGTTCTACACACTTTGTTGTTGAAGGAACATTAAGAAATGGGACCTATGCTGGCTCTGGATTCATCAACTCAAATGCTAGGTTTTCCTACCTGGGGGTCCAGGGAGACCATTTTCTCCTGCAACGCCAATGCCAATGTCTCCCTTTTCACCTTTGGTACCAGGCAACCCTGGACAAGAGAAATAAGAAGTCTTATCTCTGAGCAGAAAAATGATAGATTCCTTGAAACACACATACAAATACAATGCTCAGGCCAGCCCCCAGAAGGCTGCATATGCCCATGGGGAACCAGAGGGCAGAACTACCTCTCATTCCTGGCAAACCCTGTCGTCCTTCTCTGCCAATCTGACCGGGGAGTCCGGGTGATCCTGGAGCACCTGGCCGACCTGGGGCACCATCCTTCCCTGGCGGCCCTGGCCGACCAGGAGCTGCTGCTATCTCCATGGGGAACTGCATCCTGGAGGTGTAGTAAGCCATTCGCTCTGTAGGAAAGGACAGGGCAGGTCACAGGGGGCTCCAGGGACTCAAGACCACAAATGCCATAGACATGACACCAATATGGAACAGCCTTTCTCCAAAGGACATCAGGATACGGAACATGGGGATTGGTCCCAGATCTTTGGGGAGCACAGATCTAGTTTCAGCATCTCACTTCTCCAGTACCCTTCACCGGTTCACTGTTGGCTTCAAAATAAGTCGACTCCTTGCTCTTCATGCTTCCCAAGCAGGATGCCCAGCCCCCCCAGGACAGTGTGCCCCCAGTCCCCCAGCACATCAACATTGGATGAAAAGTTAAAATAAACCACAGCAGCCATCTTTCAATTGCTGCTTGCCCCTCTGTTTAGGAATCATTCCCTGCAGGTTCATTTGAAATCAATTTTCTTGTCGGCCACCTTGATCAAGTAGAGACCAGGAGGGCAGGAGGGAATCCTTTTATCTCTGAACAGAGCAGGTGACAAGGAAGGTCGGATGGATAATTGAACACATGTCTGTCATCCCCTTGGCCTCTAAGTGTGTGGGCGGTGGAAGGGAGGACATGGAAGCTTTAAGGGAAAGGAGGCCAGGGCTGGGTGGAGAAGTAGCTGGGAAGGGCAAGTGGCCCCCACTGCCACCCAGCCAGCTGCCACTTACCATCAAACATTTTAATGATCTCTTGTCTGATGAACCTCTTGATTTCATCATAATTCACCATGTCTCCCTGAGGGAAGAGAAGAGAAGCTGCCTCAATTTTACACTCTCTCCTGGGAGCAGCCTTTATGGAAATAAAGGAGGGTAAAGGTCCAGAATCCTCCCACAGATTTTAAATCCAAAGTCCTACCTTCCCTGAGATGGTACTCAAGCATTTTGTGCAGAGCATAGTTGGCTGGGGAGAGGGACCTGTAACCCCCACCCTCCCCATGCAGTTAAGAACCACCTAGATGGAGTCATGCTCTTTCCTGCAGAATGTCAGCAACAGCTTCCAAAAGGACCCATGCTCCATCCCACATGCCTGCTCTGGGACAGTGCCCAGAGCTGCCAGCCTCTCCTTACCATGGAGCCAGGCACACCGGGCAATCCAGGGCTTCCCGCAGGACCTGGAGACCCAGGGTGGCCTCTCTCTCCTGCAGGACCTGGTGGCCCAACAGGCCCCATAGAGCCACTCTTGCCAGGTCCGCCAGGCATGCCAGATCTTCCCTTCTCTCCTGCCTGGCCCTTCTGTCCTGCGGGTCCTGGATCACCCTACGAGAAGAGGAAGTCACAGTCCAGCATTACCAGCCACCACCAAGACTGTGTCACGATGTCTCAGCAATCTACCCCTTCTTCTCCCTGTTCCCACCAGGTCTCCAGCATCTCTCCCTACTCCGCTTCACTGTCACCAGAGCAGTCCTAGTCCTAACGCTAACCCTAACCCTTCTAGAAATCGGTTCTCATGGTGTGGCTCCCAACTGCCCTTGGTATAAAGGCCCCACTTCCCTGCCAGGCACTCAAGGCCATTGATGACATGCTCCTGGTCACACCTTCCTCAGCCTCATCTCCTGCCCTCCAGTTCCAGCCAGCCCTCCCTGGTTGTAACTCTCTGATCCTGCCATACTGTCTAAGTTTTCCCTGCCTGGACACCCTCTCTCATCTCTTCCACACCTCCTCCCCAGCTGAAATGCCCCTGTTCTTTACACGGCCTCTCTCAGCCCCAGATCCCACAGTGCTGTGTCCAGTCTTCTATTAAAAAAAAAAAGAAAAGTAGAAAACTTGCCCTACTCTAGGGTCAATATGACTGGACTGCAGGGAGCACCGCTGCTCAAGGGCCTCTTTTTATCCCAGGCCAGGAAAAGGGGCTGGGATGTGAGTGAGAGGGAGCAGAGATTTCCATCCCCAGCCACAGCTAAGAACCCTGGAATGGCCCCATATGAGGCGGACTCACAGGTGTGGCTGCTCCCAGTCCTGCCCGCTGGCCTTCCTATGCCCCTTCTGTAGCTAACATCATAGCTTAGAGCTGGGCTTGATTGATACATGAGTCAATCCTCTCAAACCCAGCTGCTGCCCACTCACCTTTGGACCAGGAGGTCCATAGAGTCCCTGTTTTCCAGGGGGTCCCTAGAAGAAACCAAAGTCAGGGATCAAGTCTATATAGCATCTCTGAGACCTCTGGGGAGGTCAAAGCAATGAAAAGATCATCGTCACTGGCCCAGGCCCCAGGCTGCATCTAGCTGGGCTCTGTGTAAGAAGAGATGACATCTCTCTGCCAACAGAGGGGCTGACAGCTGGAAGGGAGAATGATGTCCCCTGGGGCATGGCCTTGTTTGATCCTGTTAGCCGGGTCCCTCATCACAGATGAGAAGAAGTGAAAAGAAGTCAGAATGAGAGAGCCAGTCTGAGTCAGTGGAGGGCCCTGCAAGACCTGGTGCCCAGGGAACGCTGTTCTCATTACTGTCTCTTTTTGACCAGCTACAGGGTTAAAAAAAAAAAAAGCATAAAACAAGACTCACTGCCATCCTTGTCCTTGTCCCCTAGTCTCTAGTTCCTCTCCCCCAAGGCAACAAGAATTACCAGTTCTCTATATACAGTCATTCCTCTGAATCCAAAGGGGACTGACTGTTTCAGGACCCCCCTGGGCACCAAAATCTGTGGAAACTCAAGTCTCTTGTATTCAATAGGGTAGTATCTGCACAAAACCTATGCACATCTTCCTATGTAGTTTAAATCATCTCTAGATTACTTATTTTTTTAAGAGAGAGAGAGAGAGAATTTTTTTTTAATATTTATTTTTTAGTTTTCGGCGGACACAACATCTTTGTTTGTATGTGGTGCTGAGGATCGAACCCGGGCCGCATGCATCTCAGGCGAGCGCACTACCGCTTGAGCCACATCCCCAGCCCTAGATTACTTATAATACTAAGATAATGTTAATGTTTTATAAATTCTGGGATACTGTATTGTTTAAGGAATAATAACAAGGAAAAAAATCTATATATGTTCAGTCCAGCAATTTTTTTTTTCTGAATATTTCAATCTCAGTTGAATCCATAGACATGGAACCTGCAGCTATGGATTCTGTCTGCAGATGGTCTGCACACGCAGGGAGTGCTGACTGAACGAATAAGGAGGGACCAGGGCAAGCTGGGAACTAAGAAAGCCAAGCAGCATTCCCAAGGGTAAAGGAGCCAGCATAACAGTACCTCTTTGCCGGCCGCACCATCTGCACCAGGTTCACCCTGGGGAGTAGAGAGCAATAGACATGTGATAAACTGTGACCCAGTTTGACCCTGCAAACCTCACCTTGCCCACCAGGCACAACCAGCTCCACCAAGAGGTGCCAATCTTGCATCCCTCACCCTCTGATGCCTCACATTCCAGCCTGGTCTGGGAGCCCAACTGATGGCTCCCAGCTGCCTCCTTGACTGATTTCTGCAAGGGAAGAACAGACTGTGCCTCTTCGCTTGGGATCCCAGCACCTTGCACACTCCCTGGCTCTGAGTATATGGTAAATGTTTGCTGAAGGAACACATGAACTGTGAGCCTCTGTCCTCAGTGAGATTTGCCAGGATGAGCCTGAGCCAGCTCCCTCCCCACAACAGGAGAGGTTGCCCACCCCCTGCTTATCTGCCTTCTGGCGGGCTGCTAGGGACAAAGAATCTGTGACTGCCCAGTGAGTAATAGAGTTCTGGGGTTCTGGGAGCTCCTGAGGGAAGGACCTGTCCAGGATCCTTGGCAAGAATCAGAATAAGCAGCAGAAGCCACCTAGGCTGTCCTGGCACATGGGCTGACTGCCACCTCTACACTAACTGGACTCATCCACCCCATTCCAGGCCCCCAATCTCAGGTCATTGTGACTGCTACCTGAAGGAGAGCCCACATGGTGGAAAGAACTTGATGGGCAGGGGGTGGGGCTAGAAGACCTGAGTCCCTGTCTCCTAGAAGGCTATCATCCCAGAGACTAGCAATCAGTTCCAGCTGATGTGGGTCACCTTGTCTGGATATTTGCAGACTGGGTAAGGACTCAAGATCTAGAATCAAGTAGGGTGGGAGTCTAGCTCTTCCACTGTGTGACTCTGAGCAACCTGCTTAGCCTGGCTGAGCCTTGGTTTCCTCATCTGTAACACGGGGCCAACCAGATCCACTAAGTGGGGCTGCCATACAGAGTAAGACAAAATGTGCATCAAGCACCGAGCTCACCATTCAGCACATGGTCTGTGACCAATATAGCATCACTCGGTGCTAAACATGAGCTGAGACCACGTTGTGGTTTCTGAGGAGCTCAGAAAGTTACAGTAATAGCACTGCATTTCTGGTTCCTGACATTTTCAAAGACTCTGTGGTTGCTGGCAAGCATCCCTAGGGCGGGGGCGGGGGGCGGTGGACAGGGACAGAGTCTCCTCTGTCTGATAACTCATTGAAGAATTTGCATGAGGTCAGTGGCGCATCTTCAGAGGCAGTGACCTGTGTGCACTGGCTGGCAGGGCCTGTCACTCCCAGTGTGCAGTTGTCCCAGGTATGGGCTCCTTGATGTGGTCCTGCTATACTAATGCCTGTCCTCCCCTGGAGATCCCAGGTGTGCAAAGCTGAGCCCAACTGGCAAAGCCAGCTGACCCTTTCCTCTGACCTGTGCTATAAGATAAGGGGTCTTACCGGGGGACCAGGGTGTCCAGGTGGGCCAGGCTGACCTGGGAGGCCCACCATGCCCCTTTCTCCAGTGGCTCCCCGGTCTCCTTTCAGGCCCTAGAGAATAGGAAGGAGAATGGTGGGTGGGGGTAGAAGTGGACCCCACCAAGCCAGAGGCAGACCGTCCACTATGTACCAGGAACCATGTCCCCACCTCCTGGGCCCCACATGAGGAGGGGTGCTGCCTGAATTTGCAGCAGGGCCCTAGGATGGCCTCCAGCCTTTGAAGCCCTAGCCTCATCCCAGAGTGGGGATCTTTGGAGGTAGGTAAGGCGGATGGCAGAAGTGGGGATGCAGGCAAATTGTTTTCCATCTCTCTGGATACCTCCAGAAGGAACCTACAGCAGAACAGGGCAACGCTCCTGGGAGGGAGGAACGATGGGAAGTGTCACTCACCACTGCAGAGATCCCAGCTGGACCTGGCTGGCCCGGAGGCCCCGGAGGCCCCTAAAGAGAAGCGATGGAATCAGTGGGATGGAAACAGGCTCTCAAGATGAGGGGCAGAGGGCTGAGAGCTCGAGCAGGCCCAAACTGCCCCATTCCATGCTCCTCCTGAAACCCTTCCTTCCCTCCGGGACACAGGACCCTCACAGCTAATGCCCACTGAGTGGTACACCTGGAAGCTATAGCCAGAGGCCAAAGGCAAAGGGCCCAAGAGAATGAACTACTGCCCGGTGTCTTCTGAGACCCCTGCTTTCCCAGAGGCAGCCTCACTTCCTGCTATTCTAAGGAGGAAGGAAGACCAGGATCTGGGGTCTACACAGCAGGGGGCAAAGGGTGGGGGCTCAGCACCAACCCAACACACACTAAGAAGCTCAACAGCCAGGCACTCAAGCCCAGTCTCTTGGAACCCTCTAACCCTGGGACAGTGAGGAACCCCCAGGAATGCTCCTTCCTGCTGGGCTGTCCCATGTCTGATGATCCACATCCTTGTCTCTGAGGCACAGCTCAAATGTCACCTCTCTGGTCACAGTGACTCTTCTGAACCCCAGGGCACTCAGTTCTCTCTCAGAGCACCTTCATCCACCTTCACAGATGGAAAGTTCCAGAAGCCATGGCCTCTGTTCCACTCATCTAAGACTCCTGGGATAGAAATGTCCAGCACTGGAACTCTCATGCAGCAAGGGACCTGGGCTTCACATACAGGAACAAGAGGAGGAGCCCTACACCTCCTCCCGCAACACCCTGACCCCTGTCCCTTGAGTCTCCACTGGGGCCACAATACAGAGTATGAGACTCCTTTCATCTGTAAAGTGAGGAGGAACTGGTCTAGATCTGGGGTCCCCAGGAGAGGGCTTCTGGACCCCTTCAGGTACATTAAAACATCCACGGGGACTTGAGAATTCCTTTTTTTTTGGTCATGAACTATTTTTAACATTTCTAAAAGCCTCCTGGAGATTATGCAGCCAGCACAACAGGGCTGCAAGAAATGCCAGTGTATTCGCTGTCCCTGGAGCCCTATCAGCTTGATGCCGTCACACTGATCAAAGGCACCAATTGGCAGCTATCTGCGCTACCGATGAGTAAAGTAGATGGGAAATTCATTATTGCTTAACGAATGTCCTCTCCGAGTCTCTCCATCTCGTAAACACACCACCTACTTACCTCACCCAGGCCAAACTCAGGAGTCGTCCTTAATTGCTCTTTCTACCACTCCACCCTGCCTCTGCCCCAGACCGCCACCGCCAAGCACATCCTAGATCCATCCTGAGTCCCCTCTCCGCTACAGCCACCCATCCACCACTTCCCTGCACGTCTTTCCCACGCTCCTGATAGCACCTCTGAGGGCCTCCTGTATGTCATAGTGTCCTTCTCAAGGCTCAGCTTTCTGACCCCACTCTCCACCCTTCTCAAATGGCACTCCAGCCATGCAGACCTCCCAGGGTTCCTCAGACACACCAAGCTTCTCGCTGCTTTGGTCCTGTGCATCAGCAGACCCCTCTGCCCTGGGCTCTTCCCCTGGACTCCTCAGAGCTGACTCGTCCTTTTCTTCAGGCCTCAGCTTGAATGTCCCTTCTCCACTAAGTGTTCCTCCAAAGCCAGCTCCTGGCCCCTCTGTAATATCACCTCTGCCTGATGCTTTTGTACCAGACTGGTGCCTGCCTTGAAGTGCCATGAGATGAGGGGGCCTGTCTGTCTTGCTCACTGCTGTCGCCCCAATGCTTGGAACAGTGCCTGGCAGGGAGCAGGTGCTCCATAATTATTTGTTGACTAACCGAATGCCCTTTGTGATAAGTGAACATGGACGTGCCCAGAAAACAAGAGGCGGAGAGCTTTGGGACCGCTGAATCGGGTGAGCCCACAGCCCCTTGTAGCTCTCTATGTCTAGGGAAGCGCCCTTTCAGGCCATCAGTGACTTGCCCACCACCACCCACAGTGGCTTCCCAACATTCCAAGAAACAGAGACAAAACCAGTTTTAACTCACAATGTGGCCAGGGGGGCCAGGTCGCCCTTGGGGTCCCATGGCACCAGGCTCACCCTGTGGGAGACAGAGAAAAAAGATGACACAGACACAGATTGCCTGGCACACCTGTGGCTACTTAGATGGGAGACGGGTGAGCAGGGAGGTGGGAATGCCAATGGCCAGAGGAGCATGCTTTCCTTGTAGGTGAGTGGCCCAGCTGTTTCTTGGGAGGGGACCAGTTACAACACTTGAGAGGGAGATGTGCAGTGTTGGGTGAAATTCTGCCCCAGAAGGCCAGGAGAGAAGCAGCCACTTTGGGCAGGAGTGGCAGGAAGCGGCTGCATCCAGATTCAGAAAGCCCGCTGTGTGCACAGATCCCACCTTACCTCCGCGCCGGGCCGGCCGCTGCTACCAGGGGGGCCTGGTTGGCCACAGTCACCCTAGAAGAGAGAGGGTCAGCCAGAGCTTGGGAAACCCACCCCAAATGGGTCCCTCATCAAAGGCACCCTGCCACCTATCCTATCTCCAGCCACAGTCCCTCTGGTGCCCTCAGGCCAGAAGGTGGCAAAGAAGAGAGCAGAGAAGACTTGCTCTCCAGAAGTCACCCTTACCTTAGGTCCTGGGAGGCCAGGGTGTCCAGTTTTCCCCTTGAAACCCTGGAAGAAAAAGCAAGGAGCGATCACATCCCTCACCTCATCCAGAGGCTTCTCTCAGAACCTCCTTCCTCGGGTTAAACAAATGGAACCAATCCAGTCATGACTTGGTGCACGGGGTCTGGAGGATGGGAGCTGCCCACCCACCCAGGCTGAGGCTGCAGCGGCTCAGCCCCTTCCTGCAGTTCAACTTACCGGGGGTCCCATGAGTCCGGGGGGGCCAGCGGGACCAGGGTCCCCCTAGGGAAAGAGACCAGACATTGTGGCAGGGGTTTTGTCCAGCCTCTACCCGACTCATTCACCGTTGCCATCCCTGCTCCAGCCCTCCCCGGGCCAGCCCAGCGTGGCGGCAATGTCACGTGGGGCAGAGGAGGAATCGACCTGGCCTGACCTCTCACTGGCTGTGGACCCTGAGAGAATCCCAGGCCTCTCTGGGCCTTAGTTTTCCTTCTTCTGGGTACAGTGTGGGGGTAGTGATCTTGATGCCCTTTGCCTGGTCCCATCCCCGCAAAACTCCGCCCAGGGAGAAGGGCTTGCTCAAGGCCTTCCATGTCTGCAGCCGGATTCTCTCCGAAAGCCAGCCTAGTTTCTTTAGTTGCCTGAGTTTCTATTTAAAATGTCACTGTCCTGCCTTTGGTGAGCCCCAGCTTGTCTAGCTTGGTGAAGGCCATTTGAACTGAGAAACCAGGGAGGGTGCAACAGGAGAGAGCAAGGGGGGAGTGGACATCCCGCGACAAAGGGGAGGGGCACTTCAGTTCCCTTCACCAGGGCTCCCTTGGCTTTGGCTCTTAGAGAAAGAGAGGAAGAGGTGCCTGCCCGCCCTGGACACCATCTCACCCTCAGGCCGGGCTTGCCATCCTTCCCATCTAGACCGTCCAGGCCGGCGGGGCCCTAGAGACAGGAAAAAGGCGATTCTACAGGCTGTGTCAGGGCCCTGGGAGGAGGGAGAGCTGACCCAGCCCAACTCCCTGCCCCTCACCCCATTCCCACCCCCACCACACACACACACACACACACACACACACACACACACACACAGCCCTCCCCTCCAGGCTGAGGGCACACACCTACCTGAATCCCAGGGGGTCCTGGTGGCCCAGGGGAACCAGGCAAGCCTGCTGGGCCGCGAATCCCTTCACTGCCCTGGAAAGCAGCACCCCAACAGTCAGCAGGGCCTGGCCCCGCCCACGGAGACTAGGCCTGGGCCCAGGGTTCAAGGACCTCTGGCTTCTAGTCCTCATTCTGTTTTGACCTAACTGATATAGTCCACACTCAGGAGAAAGATGAAGATCTGGAAATGGTCACACACCTACTGACCAGGCTCTCCGTCTGCGGGATGGCAGGGCAGGAGAGGAGGCTGGGGGAGTCACGGCCTGACTGAAGGCCTGAACGTCACGCTAAACTTCACCAAATAGGCAAGTGGTTTCCAAACTGTACTTCTCAGAGCTCTGGGGGCTACTGGGGGGACCCTGGAAGCTGGGGAATGAAGTGGGGACCCAGAAGGTGGAACTCCAGGACCCTATCCTTGTCTTAGCCACAGCAGCTCAAATTCTTTCTGTTTTATAGGTTGAGGTTTGAGTGGAAAAAGGCTCAGGGACTCTAAAATTAAGTCTAGAGGCACTGGGGAGCCATTGACGGTTCAGAACAGGGAGGTGATGAGAACAGATGTGTGAATTGGAATGTTTACTGAAGAAAGAGGGGGTGGCGAGAGGCTTAGAGGGAAGGACTGCTGCGTTCCCCAGTGGGGAGAGGATGGTGTCTTGGGGTGGCTGTGGGGGTTGTTGCCTAGCTGAGGGAAAAGCTCTTGGGGGGCACTGCAATGCCACCAGTCACCAGAAGGGGTCAGCACAGCCCAAGTCAATATCAGACCCCATTGGGAGTTGAGAGAGAACCATTGGCCAGAGTTTGGGATTCTCTGCTGCCACCGGCCTGGGCAGGAGCTGCCTCCGGGGTCCTCCACAGAGAAGGGAGATGAAGGGAGCTGGCGATCTCCAGTGCCCAACCTTGACTGATGGCTCAGGGAGGCTGGGAGGGGCTGGGGCCTCTCCTGAGCTGGGGGAAGTCTCAGTGCTGGTGCTGCCAACACGCTGTGCCCTGGGATGCCCCTTGCTGTTGGGTCTTTCCTTGCCTGTACAGTGAGAAGTTGACTTTGTGGTTTCAAAGGAAAAAGCTTCCCAATTCTGCAGTTTCCTGCCCTCCCTCTGGGCCCCAGCCTCCACCCTAAGCTCAGAAGTCAATCTTGGGGCCACGTATACCACTCATCCAGCACATCACATCGAGGGAGGCCAGAGGCTCGGTGACACAGGGATATAAGCCCCAAACCACAGCAGAGCTGTGTCTCCAAAATCCATGAAGCCAAACTAAGAGGCAGCCAGTGTGAGGATCCCCAAGTTGCTGTACCTCCCCACACTTGTCAACAGGCTCCTTCTGCCCTCTCTGGGCCCTTGGGGACAACCCAAGCATGGCTGTCTGAGGGAGAGGCCCATCCCCCTCCAGGTTGGTGTCCTCCTCCAGGGCTTCCTGGTCTCAGATGTACATCTCCTCCCCGGCTGGCCCGAGGATGGCCTGACACATTCCAGGTGTCTGCCTCCACCATACCCTCTGCCCCCTCCCCACCTTCCACCAGCCTTTCCCCTCTCCCAGCAGATAGGAGCCAGGGTTGCTCAGAGGCCAACGGGCATGCTGGGCCCAGGGCCATCCAAGGACCGTTGGCCTGCCACAGCCTCTGTTCTGGGTCCAGCAATCACAAGTTCTGATGCCGTGAACTCTGTCTTTGAACTTCCCCGGGGCCTGATGTGAGGGGTGGGACACGGCATGGAGGCTACAGGGCTCAGATCCATGACTGGCCACCCTGGGGGTCCTGCTCACCTTCTCTGCTTGGGGCCCAGGTGGGCCAGGTGCTCCAGCTTTGCCTGGGAATCCAGGGGGACCCTGTGTTAACAGAAAAGCAGTCAGGAGTGAACGCAGGCTACAGTGGGCAGCACCCCTTCTTTCCCTTGCGTGCACATCCTACTGTTGTCAAGGGATGGATTTTGACTTCCTAGAAACACCACCCGGTGCTCATTACATCTGCCTGGCCCACTGGGCCCACCCAGGAAGCCCCAACTCCAGGTCCCACTTCCTGGAATCAGGCCTGGCCACCCAGGCTGTTGCTCCCCTGCTCTTCCCTCCCCTCCCCAAGCCCAGCCTGGTCAGGCCTGCCCCTCCCCTCCCGAAGAGGCCACAGCAGACAGAACAGCTCTGTGTCTTTACTCACCGGTGGGCCTGGGAAGCCTGGCTGGCCTTGAAATCCCTAGGAGAAGACGCAAGGGACAGTGTGGGTGTCACTCCTCTCTCCACCTGGCTGCCCAGGTGGAAAGAGTGACAGGATGAGGCAGCCTCAAGCCCATGGGCCAGCAGGTGAGGCTCTGGGAGGACCAGTCATCCCTGAACCCCAGCCAGGTCCCAGCCTCACTCACCTGGTCTCCCTTTTCACCTGAGTTCCCTTGGGGTCCTCGCTCTCCTCGGGGACCCTGTCACCACAGAGAAAAATGAAATTGGAATCCCAGTCTTCCTGTCCTCAGACCCCAGGGTGGGCCAAGCAGGGGCCCATGTCCACATCTCCCGGCCTCCTCCCTCACTCACAGCTGGGCCTGGGGGACCTGGGAGGCCTTCTGTTCCCGGCGGGCCCTGGAGAGGGGAAGAAGCAGAATCACTCTGGGGACATGAGGATGGTTGGGGGTGGCTGGGCATGTGGTGGGAGGCTCCTTGAGCTGGCAGGACCCTCTGCCTGGTCTCTTCGGGCTCCCCTCTTGTGTGAGCTGTGGTACCCGCCTTGTAACTAGTCCTGCCACCTCCCAGCTCACCCCAATCCAGCAAATGGCTGCCCCCTTCTCTTCCTCCAGCACTGTTCTGATTAAGTCACTCTCGTGCTCAAAAACCTTCCATGGCTCCCCTCTGCCAACTGAATGAGGCACACAGTTTCCATCAGTGCTGGGAGTCGAGGCTCCCTTCTCCCACCTCAGGTCTGTCTCCCCCGTTTCCATCCTGCTCAGGAAGGTCACTGTTCCTGGAACTGCTCTATCTGTTCCTACCTGGACCTCTGTGTGGCCACCCCTCTGCCTGGAATGACCACCATCCCCCCCCCTCCTTTTAGCTGTCCTGAAACCGTGTGGGATCATGGGATGGCTCCAAGCTGTTCCTACCACGCCCCACCCGTGGCCTCTCCCTCTGGGATTCCCCAGTGTGGACAAGCATGTGACTCCCCCTCCCTCCATTCAGATCTCAGCTCAAAGGCACCTCCTCAGTGGGGACCTCCCCTCCAGCCCCTCCCCGCTCTGTGTGCTCATGTGTCCGGCTTTCATGTCTATGCACCACGGCTGCCCGCTCGCTCACCACAGTACCCTCAGAACAGGGCCTGGCACCCAGCAGGCCCAAAGAACTTTCTGTTATTGAATAAAAGTGTTGCTGAATCCCACTGAGGTCTCACTGAAATTTGTGAGGGGGAGAGGTAAGACTCCAGTCCCCCCGTGGCTGATCCCAGATCTGAGGTCTGTCCCCAGATGGACTTGGGACCCAGCCCAGGCTCCGCCACTAACTCGCTAACTGGCTGCAGGACCCTGGGTGAGTCATGACATTGCGAGCCTGTCCTCGTGTGATAGCAGCCCCCTGGCTCCTGTGCTCGTCGTGGGGCCTCTGTGAAGGGTGGCTCTATTGGGGACAGAGACTCAGGCCTGGCTCTCTCTCAGGCTGGCCCTGGCCAGCTTGCCTTGGCAGGAGCGGGAGGGGAGGGAGGAATTCTTCTGCCAGCTGACTCGTCCTCCCGAAGCCTGGCTGCATGAACCTGCTGGGATTCTCCTCACAGCCTCCGCCTCCACAGCCACCAGCAGGCGCTGGGACACAGCTGGAGCCATTTGGGGGCAGGGGCAGCAGGGGTCATGGGCTCCTCCTCATGGCTGCTAGGAAAATCTCCAGCCGAGGTGGTGGCCTGGCCTTTCCTCTGCCCCCGCGGGAGCCACTACTCACCGACTCGCCCTTCTCTCCCGCGGGCCCTGTGTAGCCACGCTCCCCCTTGATGCCCTGACAATCCGCAAAGAAAGAGCAGAATTAGCCCGCGGCCCGCCTGTCACGGCGCTAATAGGAGGGGTGGAGACTGCAGCAGGCACCCAGACTGGCACTTGGAGGTCGAGGGCACCGAGGGAGATGGCTGGGGGAGGAGAGACTGGGCCACAGTGTCCTCCCCACCTGCCACTGTGGCCCTCAGTGGAAAGCAGGGACCCGCCTACCCAGCGGGCACCTGAGAGGGGGTGGCACCTCCCAGCTGTCTCCCCAACTCTCCCAACCTCAGGAGGTAGATCTCAGTTCTTGCCATATCTGGGATTCCCAGTGTGCTCACAGAGACTGGCCCCCAGGCAGAGTGGGACAGACCATGCTGCCAAGGGGCTACAGTCGGGCATGCAGGGGACTACACCACCGGCCTGGCAGAGGCCAAGGCCAAAACGCTCCGAAAGAAGGAGCCTGCTAAGGGATGCCAGCCCGGTCCTGTCCTGATTACCAGCCCAAGCCTCCCGCACCCCCCAGACAGGACCCCCTTACTCACTGGCAGTCCCGGGGGGCCCATGGCACCTGGGTAGCCAGGTTGTCCTGGAGGACCCTGCAAAGAAAGGCAGACAAAATGGACAAGCCCCCCCATTTTGGTTGGGGGAACAAAAAGGTGACCTAAGCCAGAATATCCAGAGCTGCCAACTAGCAGGTGATACCCAGCCGGGACCACCTCAGGCCTTTTCCCAAGCCCCAGGTTCTTTTGGACATGACCATCACCACCGACCCGGCCACGACAAGCCCAGGCTGAACTGAACCCTGGGAGCTGAGCCAGAGAAGGCCCAGACAGGCCGAGGGGAGAAGAGCCCCCAGGGAGGTGGAGAGGGCAGGACGGAGCCATGCACCTCACCGGGAGTTGGGCACATGGAGGTCAGGGCACCCAGCAAGAGGGGCAGAGCCCCATGACACCCAGATCCTCTGACCCCAAGAGTGCCAAGACCCCATGCTGAATGCCTCAGGGCTTCACCACCCAGTTTCTGCTCAGCGGCCATTCCTCAGGGCTCGACCTCTCTCCCAGGGCTCCTGTCCCCCCAGCTCATGCCATCTCTTCTTACCGGTTCACCTTTGTCTCCTGTCAAGCCCCTGAGACCTCGTTCTCCTTGAAGACCCTTGGAGAGAAAGTTCATGAGAACCTGCCGAGGAGGGCAGTCCCCGCCCAGCCCCTGATGGCCCCTGCCCTGCAGCCTCTGATCACAATCTCGGCAAAGGTGGACGTCGCTAATGGCACTCAGGATCTGTGCTCCAGAAGGCTGACTCTCAACCCCTACCTATGGGTGCCCATAGGAGCATGCCCTCAAGACAGCTGGCTCTGGAGAATCGCCCCTGAAGTGCGTGACTCTCAGATGGCACCTCTCACCTGAGTGTCACATGGGTGTCACCGATGTGTCCTACCATGGGAGCTAGCTGGGGGTACACATTTAAAAGGATGACAAATCAGATATAATCTCCTTCTGAGGGGCAGCTGTCAGGAGAGGTGCACCTAGAGTGACTTCCCCATGAAGTGCATCGTGACAGACCACTTACCTGTCCCTGTCCCCATCAAGCCCTAGATCACCAACTTTTAGGGACGCAGGGAAGAGGCACAGAGGGCTCCCTCCAGAGTGACCCCTGTCACTCAGTAACGTGTAAGGGGATGTCACTTTCGATCAGAGCCAGAGCCCCAGCCCTCACTCCTCACCCTGGCCTTGGTAGGTCGGCCACGACATTAAGTGCACCTTTGCTGTCCCTTCTCCCTCGTGCCCTCCAGAAACGGCGCCCAAACTTTTTCACAACACAAGACAGATGGCTAGACAGACAGATGGCCCCTTCACCCAAGCAAGCAGAAACAGACAAGGCCCGGCCAGAGATGAGGACGTGGGGACAGATGGAACTGCAACAAGGAGGGGCCCTGCTCCCGAGCCTCCGTCACCAGGCCTGGGAGGAGAGGAGCCAGGCCCCAGGAACACGAATCTGACAAACAGGAGGTTAGCTTCCGTGACCCCGGAAGGAGCAACAGCGAGGATGGGGGTGACTTAAACACACCTGTGACGATGATGAAGGCAGAGCAATTAACGACACCTGGCAGAAGGAGCGGACCAGGGCACCTGGCAAGAGGGGCAGAGCCCCATGACACCCAGAAACCTAACTGGCTGGTGTCACATGCCCAGCCTTCGAGCAAACTGGGGCTGGAGCCAAGGAAGAGGAGGAGGAGGAAGCTGAGGGTTTCCTCCAGCAGGAGCGAAGGGTGCAGGCAGGGCTGCCTTGAGTCCCCGGGGGGCCGCTGGACAGCCCTGCCAAGCAGCAGGGCAGCAAACCTGTGCCAGCCTGCAATGTGAAGCCCTAAAGCTTTGGCATCTCTGCCGGGCTCAGAGCCAGTGCCTGGCAGGGCCCCAAGAACTACTTTCAGCAAATCTTCAGTCCACACGGCAGGTGGTGAGAGGCAGGAGGCAGGAGTGAGAAGGGCGGAATAAAGGGGCTCCTGGGGGCACCAGCTTCAAATAAGAAGGTGGAAGAGCTCGGAGGACGGAGGGGGAGGGACGCAGCGTGGCAAGAGAAGGAGGAAAGGAAAACAGAAAGAAGTGAAAGTGAGAAGATGAGAAGCAAGCAGGAGGAGAAGGGAGAGTGGGAAGAAGTCAGCGACCGGGAGGACGTCCAACTGCTGGGACCTCAGGGAACCTGTGTCGTTAGCTACCGTGCCTGCATGGGACAACGAACACGGAGGTGAGGGCACACAAGCAGAAGCCACAGAGACCTGGCTGGTGGGGAGGGGAGCGGGAGCAGCACTAGGTTCTTACAGGCAATCCGGGGGAGCCAACAGCACCAGGAAAGCCTGGGGGGCCCTGGTGGGAGAAACAGCAGGTCACATCTCACAAGCACAGTCACCCTGGAACTGGGGGGCCATGGGGAGAGGAGGTCTGGGGGTGCTCTGAAGGCAGCTGAAGAAGAGACTCTTTGACCTCCGCGGCCCAAAAGGCAGTTGCTCCTCCTCGTGGCCCCAGAAAGGATGGCCCCTTCATTGGCAGAGACGCAAAACAGCCCCAGAGTCCGTAAATCCTTCCCCAGTTTTCCAGAGTTTCCTGAATGCCCTGGCTGCAGTGGAAGCCCATTCCTTTGGTCTTGCCCAGCCTGCCTGCCACCTGCCCTCCGCCGGCCCACCCTCCGGTGGGTAGATCCCACCAGCTCTTTTTCTCCAAAGAACACAGTGCCGGGCCTTCCCAGATTTCTAATCATTTCTCTTTTCCAGCCTTGTCAATACCACGAAAGACACTGGGTGGGTGCCCCAGGGCTGGGCTTTATAGACCTGTCCTAGACATGGCCCCGTAGAGCAACCCAGGGTAGCTCTGTCTCAGCCCCACAAGGGCACAGAGAGATCTGGCCAGAAGGACACAGAGCTCCCTGGGTGCAGAGGTGAAGACGTGCCCAAGGACAGAGCTGGGCAGTTCCAGGGGACTTGACGGTGGAGAGCATGGTCCCCAGAGCTGCTCTCGGGAGAGAAAGGCAAGGACGGTGGGTGTCCCCTCTTTGTGCCCTGCTGGGCTTCTTGGACAAGGCAACAGAATGACGTCTGAGCGTTAGGACCCCTTGCAGAGCTTCTCAAGCAGCCAGGGCACCACAGATACTTACAATTGGGCCTGGAGGACCTTGGGAGCCCCTCATGCCTGGCGGACCCTATAAAGGAAGCCAAGGGAAACAGATGAAGAGGATGGGGCCTCACAGAGCCCCAGGTCACAGCAGCCTTCCTCCTAGCTTGCCACAGCTGGAGGCAACAGAGGGCCGATGTCAAAACAGGACAATTCAGCTGACATAAAATGGCTTTCATTTGGTTCATTCAGTCACCCAACAAACATTTATTGAGCAGTTATTATGTATTGGGCACTGGTCCAGGAGCTGGGAACACAGCCATAAACAAAACACAAAAATCCCTGCCTCACAGCACTTATATCCTAGAGGCAAGGTGGACAGTAACACACAGAACAGGGCTGGCACATGGTTGGTGTTCAGGTGCTATCCGTAAAATATTCCTGAATGAGGTAAATAAAAGCAAGGCGTGGCAGAGGATGGTGAGGATGGTACAGGCGAGGTGCCGGGGGTGCTGCGGTTGTGTGGAGCTTCCATTTTAAAGAGGGTGGTTAGGAAAGTCTACTGAGGGGACATGGGACCTGACTGCTGAAGAAGTGTGGGCAGAGGAAGCAGCAAGGAGCCAGGGTGCCAGGGGAGCAGGGGGCACTCCGGGCCACAGAGGCCTTGAAGGCCCCCGGGGAGCTCTCCAGGGAAACCGGAGCTCCCACCCCTGCCCAGAGGAGGGCCTGCTCCCTGGCCTTACCTCTTCTCCCCTCTGGCCTGGCAGTCCCGGAGGACCAGGGAGGCCAGGGCTGCCCACACAGCCATTATCGCCCTCGATGCTGTCTCCCTGGAGGTGGGACGGAGGTGGCAGAGTGAGCAGCAGATCCTCTCCTCATGGGGCCCGAGGAAGGAGGAGAAGCGAGAGCTCACTCACCCTCGCCTCCTCAGCTCTCGGGCGCTCCCGCTCTGAGAAGCACTGCAGAGGACAGGGAGGCGGTCAGCTGGGGCAGCTGGGAGACCCCGAGCCGCACACGGGCTGCCCCAGCCCAGGCCCTACCCGAGCGCAGTTGTCCAGGCCTGGCACACCCGGGATGCCCTGGTCTCCCTTCTCTCCTTTCTCCAGGAGGGATGCTGGGTGGGCCGTCGGGCCCTGGACACAGTCCCCGCAGATGCTCTGAAGACAAAATGGGGAGGGTGGAGGGGCCTGGGTCAGAGCAGGCCAGGGTGGGCCAGATGGGGAACTCCGCTCAGAACCCAGGGCGGGGCACCCTGCCCAGGAGCTCTCTGCCCACACTCTCTCCCTCCCCAGCCACGTCCCTGCGGCAGCTTTGCTCCATCCTCAGGGGACCCAATCCCAACAATTGGCTTTGAGTTTCCTCCAGGAAGCAGCTCTGGTGGGCCAAGCCACAGCACTTTGCAGACAGGCGTGTGGGAGGAGGCGCAGGGGCCCACAGAGGGACCATCTGTCCCGGCTGTTCGTGCAACCTGCACCCACCGTGAGGACAAGCCACGAGAATCCAGGCTGGAAAGACTGGCTCCAACAGCCAGTTCCCCTGCCTGAGGGAGCCAGGGAAGCGGTGCAGGAGCAGCAGAGCTCTTGGCCGACCTCTGGGGAGGGCCTGCCCTCCGCTGCCCAGAGAGACCAACTGTCAGAGGCTCCCCAGGTCACTGGGCCTCTACAGGCTTCCTGAAGGAAGAGCTTCCTCCTACCCTAGGCGTTTCCTTCACAGACCTCTCTGACCCTCCCTTCCATCCACTAAAACCCACCTGTAAAACCGGCCTGCAGTTTCAAAGGACTTGGGGATCTGGAGCCTCTCTCTGGCCTGGCATGGTGTCGGGGACCCCAGGCAGGAGCCCCCATCTCACCTTCACTGTTCACTGCATTGCCCAAGGATAATGCTGTCATTTACTCAGCTACGAGGCCGGCCCTCCTAATAGGCCTTAGAGCGTTATCACAGTTAATCCTCAGGGCGCAGCCAGGCAGGGAATCTCCTGAGCATTGTGGAGCTGAGGGAGCCTCTCTTTTGAGAAAGAGGAGATGCACTTCTTCTAGGTAAGTGGGAGCCTGGATTGGCCCCGTCTGTCTGCAGCCAAGTCTATGCTTCTTCTGGGTTGTGGACACAGCCATGGCCAGGGCTCCTGGAGGCACCCAGGCTGCCACCTGACCTCTTCTATGGGCTATGTTCAGATCCTGTTTGGGACCTTCGCTGAGCATTTGATTACGAAGCCCACAAGTGAGATGCTATGAGAAGCAATGTCAGATCCTGGGTTTGGCCTGATTTCTGCTCAGGAGCAGGATTAACAGAACCCAGGGTTGACAGAAGCTTAGGAAATGGACTGAGGGTGCAGCTCAGTGGTAGAGCATGCTTGCCTAGTATGTGCAAGGCTCTGAGTTCAATCCCCAGCACTGCAAAAGAAGAAGAAGAAGAAGAAGAAGAGAGGAGGAGGAGGAGGAGGAGGAGGAGGAGGAGGAGGAGGAGGAGGAGGAGGAGGAGGAAGCCGCCGCTGCTGCCTAGAGAGAGGAGCAGGGGCCTTAGTGGCACAAATGTACTATGATCCAACATGTGGCGGCTGCCAGGTCAGCCAACCTCCTCTTCCAGTTTCTTCCAGAAACATCTGAATTCAGAACAGGAATGGACCTTCCCTCCACTGCTCCTCAGAGGCTCCCCAGGTCTCTGGACCTCAACAGTCCTCCTAGAGACAGTCCCCATACTCCGCCCTGACCAAGGCCCACCCAGGAGTGGGATGTCCAGGACACTGACTAGCTAGCCAGTACCAGGAGAGGGTGGCCAGGATGGGAGCTTGGGGGAGACCCTGGAGGCCAAGGCACAGTCAGGGTCCAAAGCTGCTGGGCTGGAGGAGGAAGTCCAGGTACCAGAAGGCAGCCTTTAGCAATGACTGTGCTCTAAGATCTCGAGGAAACTGCGCAAGGCAGGGCTGGGGGAGCCTGAGTTACTATGGTCTGGGTTTTACAGCTATTCAGAGGCCTGACACGGCCGACTCTCCTCCCAAGCACCATGTCCCCTTTCTTATTGCTAGAATTGTTCCCCAAATCCCTCTCCTCCCTGAAATACCCAGTCTGGCCCACCCAGGGTCTTCGGAGAACCTGACCTTCATAGCCTCCCACCACTGCACTGTGCCTTGTGCTGGAAGCTGCTGGGCCCTGCCCTGGTGTGACCTGAGTGCTACAGGAGCTCATTGCCAGCTGCTGCAAGCAGGCTTCAGGGTTGGATTCTGCCACCAGCATCCACCATGTGGGGACCTTCACAGGATTCCTTTGAGCACTCATTCAACAAATGTTGCCTGGGGGTCTGTTATAAGCCAGGCACCAGCCAGGCCCTCTTAAGACAGATGCTTGGAATGCAATCCCTAGAACAGGGAACCAGCAAACTAAATCTGTGCTCTCCATGAGGTGCACACAGCTGAGGGTTTACTATGAGAATTCCCTTGGGAGACAACCCAGCCAGCTCCTGCCACCCCCCACCCACCCCCCGTGGCCTCTTACCTTAAGAAGGTGCTTCTCAATGGGTAAGGAGCCCTGCAAGAGACAGATGTGTGGGTTCTAGCAGGTGGGAGAAAGGGGAAGGAGACTTATGGGATCAGGTGCAGTCTCAGGATGTATCATGCCATCTGGGCCTCTCCCAGCCTTGGAAGGGGGAGAAAACAGGGACCCTCACAGCTGCCAAAGGGGTGGGCGTGGCCAGCTCAGGCCTGGGAAGGGCAGGGAGGGTGATGGACGGTGAGTCCTGGCTGGTACCCACCAGTTCTGCAGTGAGCCCAGGCTGTCCTGGCAAGCCGTTGTTTCCAGGCACTCCCTGCGCAAGAAGACACAGACACAGTGAGCAGGCGCCTCCCTGGCCCTCTCCCTGCTCCCTGTCTTCAGCCCTTTCCCTCATCCTGCAGAACTGAGAGCCCCAGCCAGCACAGCACAAGTCTGCCTCTATTCTTAGCTCAAAAGTTTCCAGACAGCTCAGAAAGAGGAGCCAAGGAGGCTCAGAGGAGTGACCACCGAAACCAGCCCCGCTGGAAGTGTCTTCCCTGTGCAGCAGGGGAAGGTCAGCCATTGGTCAGCGGGTCTCCCCTAGAGGAACTGCTGTTTCTTTCTGTACTAGCTTCTTGGTATTTTCTCATTGAACCACAGCTATCTTGGTGAACTCGGTGTTTTACCTCATCTTAGAAACAAAAGAAAGACCTCAGAGAAAGAGTGTAAAAGATCACAACTCAAGATAACCACGGAGCTGAGATTCAGAGTGAGGACCACCGGCTTCTGACCCTCTTTCCCACTATTCCACGTCATCCCTCAAAAGACATCTCCAGAATACGGGATGCTGGCCAATCAGTCCCGTCTAGGAGCAAACCTGGCTACACCTATAACTTGGGCAGGCTATTTGGGGAGGGGGGGGGAATACTTCCAAGCTGCAGTTTCCTTATCTGCAAAACAGTGATAATTTACAGCAAGGCTTCAAGGAGATAGTGGCTATGAGGGGCTTGGTACAGAGCCTGGGACGCACCCGGACACTCTTGTTAAGTGAGCACCAGGCAGCGCTCAGCTCCCCTTGCAGACTGGCAGTTCACATTTGCATATTAAATCCTCTACAGAGGCAGGGAGTATACTCCATTTTGAATCCCCAGCGCCCAACATGGAGGAGTGCGCATTAAATATGTGTTGAGTGAACGCACCGCTGCTCAGCCTGCTCCTCCCTGTGCAGGATTTCCTTGACCCACTCTGAGATCTGGCCTCCCTTCAAGTCCCAGCTTCCAGCAAGGAACACATCTCCTCCTCCAGAGCAGCCCTCTCTATCCAGGGCAGGCTCTCCCAGGCCTGGGTCAGCCCTGAGTCAGCCTCCACCCAGCCCCCTCTGTCGCCCAGAGCGATCAGGATTTAGAACCCTGCCGGGCACAGGGCAAGTGCCTTGAATGTGATGACGACGGTGATTCACCCCCTGCTCCATTCTCTACGGCTGGCCTGTTAGTCCCAGCCTGAGACTTTGTGATTCTTTTCCTGCCCTCCCAGAACTCAATGTCCCTGTGTTGTTCCACTGTAGAAGAGAGTAGTGCAGCCCAAGTTTAAGTCTAGGCTCAACTGCCTACTAGCTATACAGCCTTGGGCACATTTCCTACCCTCTGTGCCTCAGTTTCCCCATCTATGAAATGGATCGGGATGAAATGCAGTAATTAGGCACCAGGACTATGCAGTCTTGGGCTGGTAAGGACTATGCATCTCTGAGCCTCTCTCTGAACCCAAAGGGAGGAGCTGCTCGGCCCTCCTGCACTCTGCCTGGCCCACTTGCCAGCAGCAGCCTGGGCTTGGTCTCAGTCACTGGCACCACAGGAGGACGCTGGTGCCTGGGACCACTCAGCATTCGGGCTTTCCCACCGCCCCCCTCCAGCACAGCTCAGCAGGATTCATAGCACATCAGCCCTCCCTTGTTACTGGGTCATCAAGAAATGATTCTCAGCCTCCCCAAGCAATTGCAAGCCCCCCTGCAGACAAATTACTACTTCCTGGCACTGTACAGGAAGCTTGGACACTTTCAGCAACTGTGGGGCTGCCAGACACATGGCGTGACTCTAGCTCCTGGTTGCACTGTCCTGAGACGCAGTGGGCGGGAACAGAAAGTGCTTTGCAGGGGGAAGCCCCAGTCCAGGTTGCCAATTCTTGGGCATGTGACCTTGGATACTATATTGCAACTCTCAGATCAGCTTGTCCAGCTGGGATGACTCCACCTGCCTCTTGGGGCTGATGTGAGGCTCAAATGAATGAAAAAAAAAATGGATGTAAAACAATAAAAGCAGCCATCGGGACAGTTATGATAGCTGATGTTCTCAAATGTTTACTCTGTGCCAGGAACAGTGTATACTTCACATGGATTCTCTTTTTTAATACCCACAAAAAGCCCTATCAGGTGGGTGTTGTAATCATCCCCAGATGAAGGTATTGAGTCAGAGAGAGGTTAAGTAACTTGTCCAGCGTCACACAGCTAGGACATGGCAGAGCTGGGATTCCAATTCAGGATGCCTGGCTCCAAAATGCAAACTCTAATCAAAATGCCGCACAGGTCTCAACTCCCCGCTCCCTATCTCTGGCTTCCTTGCTGTTCCTCAAACCCATCAGGCACCTTCCCACCTCTGGGCCTTTGCACTGATTGCTTTCCCTGCCAGAAACAGTTTCCCCCGTGGGCTCATTTTGCATTTCCTAAGTATTGATTCAAATGTCCACTTCTTTTCACAAACATCTTTCCTGCCCTCTTTCTATTTCCTATCCTCACCCTGCTTTATTTTTCTCCTTGGCACACACCACTTGCTACAAAACACTATATTCTATTTCTTTATCCTGCTTATTGACTGTCTCTTCTATTAGGATGCGAGCTCCGAGAGGGCAGAGGGTTTCATTTTTGTTTGCCGCTGTCTCCTAGCACCTAAAACAGTGCCTGGAAAATAGAAGATGTGCAAAATGTGTGTTGCATGAGTGAATGGATGTCAAACTCTGCTCCAAAATGGAGAGCTCTGTACCAGGGTATAGGGCTTTGACTTGACCCAGATTCTGAGAGTTGACCAAGGTCTGAGCTTGGTACCCATTGGTGAGATGCCTGGGCATTCCTTTAAAAAGGGCTGAGTGTGCGCACGGCCTGGCCTGAGGCATCCATGTGTCCTCCATGTCACCCTGGCAGGCAGGAACAAATGACCAGCAAGACATGACTGGCATATGTGGCTAGTGTAGGGGATCAGTGTCCTCAGGGTCCAGCATGGAGTGGCCACCAAGAGTGCAAGAGCCTGGCCCCCCCAAACTCCTCATTCTCTTCTCCCCCTTACCTGCAGCCCGGGCATTCCTGGGGGGCCTGGAGGTCCAGGGACACCTGGGGGACCCTGAGGGAGAGATGGTAGAATCAGAGCCAGAAGAGAGAGCTCACCCCATTGCTGGGGGCAGCAGTGTCCAGTCCAGGTGGGCAAGCCGCGGGGCGCTGGCGGACAAGAGGAGAGACAGAGGAGACAAGCGACACACACCTGCGGGCCCGGCTGCCAGGAGCTGCCCATCCAAAGTCCCGGAGCACCCTGGGTGGGAGTGGGAGTCGCAAAAGAAGGGGAGAGGTTACAGGCAACGTCTACACCAAGCGCAGGGCTGCGAGGGGAGGCGGCTGGCTGGGGCGCAAAGCCCTGCGGGGCCCTTGCACACTGGGCACCAGGCGAGGCTGGAGGCCAGGCCTCTCCCCCGGCGGGGAAGGCTCTCAGCACCACTTACCGGCATGCCAGAGAAGATGGGGTCTCCTCGAGGGGGGCAAGAGCACTCCCCTGGCTCACCCTGGAAAGACAAGAGCCTTGGTTAGAGGCGGCAAGGATGGAGGGCTCTCTGGAAACGGACATCTGTGAGTTAGCCTGGACTCTAGAGATGGAGAGGCCAGGGCTTAAATTCAGAATTACCCTCGGGCAACCTGTGGAGCTCAGTCTCCTCATCTGTAGAATGGGGATAACGATTCGGACTTTAGAGGCTCTCATGAGGCTGGATTAATGTGTATAGCAGTCCTGCCACCTGGCAGGTATTCAGCAAGTGACGGGCGGCTGCTGCTGTTACTGCTGTCACCTAGTCGCATCACTGTAGCTACACAGCTATTCTCACCGCAGCTCCTCCAGCTGCAGTCCTGCTTCTAGACCCTTCTGTCTGGACCCTCACCTCTCTGCCTTCTCACTTCTAGTCCTTCCAATTTACTTCCTGCCGTATCCTCTGACTCAGACCCTATTTGCAACTGCAGCTCCTTCTTAAGAGGGCCTTGGAGTTCTCTGGCCTCCTGGGATCCTGGTTAAGTCCTGGGCAAATATGTAGAGTGGGAAGTACCTGGGGCTTCTGGACAGCAAGGAGTCCAGGGTGTCTCCTCAGCTCCTGTCCTCCGGTCTGGGGACACTACCATGTGCACAGGTTCCCCTGGTGTGGGGCTGTAGGGGCTGCTATTTCCCCCAGAGCAGTGGCCACAGGTCCTTGGAACTTACCTTCTCTCCTCGAGATCCCTTTTCACCCTGCAGAGAAGGAGCAGGCAGTGAGGAAGCAGGGGCGCAGAGGCAGGGCCAGCCGGGGCTTCCTGCTGCCCGCGGCCCACACTCACCGGCGTTCCTCTGGCCCCCGGAAGTCCAGTCTGTCCTTGCTGCCCATCAAGGCCCTGGAGGGAGAGAGCTCAGAGTGAGTGGGTGAGATCGGACAGTGGCCAGCCATCCAGCCGCCTCAGAGAAGGCCAATGGCGACAAAGAGAAGCAGCCGGTCTTGCTGGAGGAGACTGAGGCCAGGAGCAAAAGAGAAAGGAAGGAGAAGAAGGCTGGCAGGTGGCACTGCTCCCTTCCACAGGTGAGGAATCGAGGCTTGGAGAAATTTCACTGTCAATCCGACAGCACAACAGCACCCAGGCTGTGGGGCCCCAAGTCCCTGCTCCCCATTTCTCACTTGAGTGCATGGTACACGTCTCCCTGTCGTGAAAGTCACCTCAGTTGACTGAGCTGGGAGAAGAGAATTTCAGCCCCTATTCTTATTACCAAGGAACTGGAGACTCTGAGATGTTGTCACTTGCCTAAGGTCACACAGCTAGTGAGTGTGGGATGGGGCTGCCTTCCTAGGGGACCCTCGATAGTCACACCTGGGACTCAAAGCTCCCCCAGGACCAGGACCCATCTCTGCCTTCACCTTGTGGCTCCCTGGGACTGGGAGGATCCCTGACTGCCCAGCTCTGCTGAGCATCACAGACTGGCCATGTGCCCCTGGGCAAGTCCCCACCCCCTCTGGGCTTCGGTGCCCCCTCAGGAGGAATCCATCAGTGATTCCCAAACTGGAACAAGAATTTCTCTAGGGATCCACAAAGATAGAAAAGGATATGGTTCACTGGGCTATTTTCAACATCACCAAAAGCTCAAGAAAAATTATACATTTGCCCACGGCCCAGCATGGCCCGAGCCAGCTGAAAGGTAGCATTTCTTTGATTTAGGCTAAAATTATATCATCTTGTAAAGTTCTAGTGGGTTCATGTGGAGTGGAAGCTGACTATTAGACAGGTCTTTGATGACTAAAATGAGAAAATGCACTTATTATGACTTAATCTATGTAATTTGTTCAATGGAAATGTCTTTATGACCGGGAATCGTTTTCTTGGGCAGTGCAGCACGGGTCCGACCATTCTCCCAGGGAGTACTGGTATAGACGGTCTCTAGCGGCTCCAAGGTTGGAAGTAGGGTCAGGCTTCAAGTTCTTGGCTTTGCCCCTTACTCTCTGGCCTTCCTTATCTAGGGAACAGGGACAATAACAGTTCCCTTCAAGGGCTGTTGGGAGAAGAAGTGAGGCTGTGTGTTCAGAGCTTAGCCCCGGGCCTTAGCACAGCTACTGCTCACAACACAGTGGTGGGCACGTTCTCTCCTCGGCAGAAACTAGAAAAGTTGATCTCAAAGTGGAAGAGAGTAAGCTGGGCATGGTGACGCATGCCTCTAATCCCAGCAGCTCGGGAGGCTGAGGCAGGAGGATCGTGAGTTCAAAGCCAGCCTCAGCTAAACCAAGGTGCTCAGTGGGACCCTGTTTCTAAATAAAATACAAAATAGGGCTGGGGATGTGGTTCAGTGGTCAAGTGCCCCTGAGTTCAATCCCCAGCAATCTCCATGCTCCCCCAAAAAAGTTGAAGAGAGTAGAAAGGTGATTTCTAGAGGTCGAGGGGGAAGGACGGAGTGAGGCTGAATAACAGGTACCGAGACACAGGTAGACAGGAGGAACCATTTCTAGAGCTCCATAGCACAGTAGGTGACTACAGTTTACAATAATCTATTAAACATTTGAGAAGAAGCAGAAGAAGAGCTGAAGGCACTGAACCCAAAGGAATGATATGAGATGGAAATGCCAAGTACCTGATCTGATCGTTACACATTGTATACATGTATTGAAATTATCACGCCGCACCCCATAAATAAGTGCAATCACTACACGTGAATTAAAAGGAAAAAAATTAATAAAAATATTTCTAAAAAACAACAGAGGACAGTAAAAAGATTGTGGCGATCGTTTTTGTTACAACGCAAGAGCTCTCCCCCAGAGCACCTTCCTTCCCTGAGGCTGAGGGACGCTCCCCTCTCCTGCTCAAGCTGTGGGACAGGCAGGGTCAGCTCCGTGCCCTCCTCCCAGCAGCAGTGTCTTGGTTCCAGCAATATCCCCAGCATAGAGCACAGAGGGGACTCTTACCGGAAGTCCAGAAACACTGGCACCAGGGGGTCCCATGGGTCCGGTGGCTCCTTTCAGCCCTGGAGATCCCTGGGGAAGAGAGGACACAAAGACTGCAGGGACAGGCTTAGAGCTGCATAATCCAGCAGCTGTGATACATCAGACTGGGTCTTGGACCATCCTCCGATTGGCATCACTCAGCCCCCGCCCCTGTGTCCCTTGGGTCCAACGCCCACAGAGGCAGAGGCTCACCTGGTTACCCTTTTCTCCAGCGGGGCCAGGTGGTCCTCGAGGTCCCGGAAATCCCTGTAGATGGAAACACAGTTATTTCTTATCCCAGACTGTCCCTTCCTCTGCTGGTCTCCATCAGGGTCTCCGTCAGGCCCAAGGCAGACATACCTGCATGCCAGGCACACCCTGGGCTCCAGGCTCTCCCTGTAAGTTAGAAAGGGCAGGCTGAGACGTGGCAGCCCAGCCAACCTGCCCCGCTGGCCCCATCCCATTGGCAGACCTGGCCATGGTGGGGGTATCTACTGGCTCAATGTCAGGAGAGCTCCCCAAGGAGACCCCCGAGGGTCAGAGACATGGGGGTTAAAGCCATGACCCCGAGAGCAACAGCAGGCCAGGGCTGCTGTCCCACCCCTGGTTCCAGAGGTGGGCCCTTGAGTGTCTGGGGGAGGCAGAGCTCTGTGCTTTGGGGAGAGGGAGGGAGTGGGCTACTGACAGGAGGTAGAGAGAGGTAGGTACGGGCAGGAGAGGGAAGCGGGGAGGGTACAGGTAAGGCTGGAGACTCACCGGGGGCCCCTGGGCTCCCATTCCTGGAGGACCTGGCTCCCCCTGAAGAGGCAGAAGTGCATCCTTGGCTCAAGATTCGTAACTCACCCTTCACCCTCTTCCCAGCCTCTTCTCCTTTACCTCCTTAGCCTTCATCTTCTCCCCACTCTACACCTGTCCCCGTTCCCTCTCTAAGCCCTCAGCCCCCCCAGTTCCCCTACTCTGGTTCACACAGCTGCAGTCCAGGCCCCAGACTCACACATACCTGTATGCCCTTCAGTCCTGGGGGTCCTTGAACTCCTGGTAGACCAGGCTGGCCCTAAAAGACAAGGGGCCTGTGGAATCACCCCGGGAAAGGGGGGGCAGGAGGAAGAGAAGGCAAAGCCCAGGAGGGAAGGACCAGAGGGCAGGCAGCTGGAGCTCACCGGTTTGCCAGGCTGGCCCACACCTTCTGGGCCGGGCTCTCCTTTGGGGCCAGGCTTCCCAGGCAATCCAGCCATATTGGTCGGCAGCCCCTGCAGGCTGGGGCAGGCAGTGCAGCCATCACCCTGCTCAGAGATGGAGATGGGAGCCAGGGAGCCAGGACTAGCAACCAGGCCACAGGCACTTAAAGGGGTTCTCACACCCCTTTGAAAGTCCTACCTCTCTACTGCCCCCACATCAGCCTGGGAAATCAAAATGGGTCCCCAATGCTCCAAGCTAAAACGAGCTCCGGAGCCTCCACCCAGTGATCCTGGCCTCCTTCGAGGCTCATGCTTGCCCTGCAATTCCTCCTCACTCGCTTCCACCCGGTTTCTTTTTGCCCATGCAACAAACTGCGCCCCTTGACTGACCTTTTCTCCTTTTGGCCCTGCAGGTCCCCGAACCCCAGGCTCTCCTGACAGCCCTGGCTGTCCTGTGCTCCCTGGAGTTCCAGGGTCTCCGGGATTCCCAGCATCACCCTGTAAGAAGTGGGGCTCAAGGAGTGTGGGGTGGCCCAGTTGGGGGCAGGTTGCCCCCTTAGGACCTGCAGGCACTCACAGTCCCTCACTGGGGCTGGGGCTGGGGCTGGGAAGGGAGTACAGTGGGCACAAGGCAGCCAGGAAAAGGAGGGCCTCCGAGAAGGGCTGGTCCCCCACCACATGCCCGCCCAGGTTCTCTCACCTTCTGCCCCTTCAGTCCACGCTCTCCGGCCTTGCCCTGAGGAGAGAGCGTTCCCAGCACCCATTCACCCACGCTGGACACACCTGAGCACCCAGCCCTGTTAGACCAGGGGATGTGACAGAAAGAAAAACACTCTCTGCTCTCAGCTAGTGGAAGAATCTTGTGTAGGTGACGAGGAGCCTTGAGCCACACTCCTTGCCTATGTGACATGGACAAATTACCTTACCTATGTGCCTCAGTTTCCCCATCTGTCAAATGGGGGGTGATAAACTAGTAGAGCTTCTGCCCATGGGGTTCTTGTGAGATGTGATGAGCTGATGTGCGCGGAGCAGCACATGGCACATAGTGTCCCTAGGCTGCCATTCAATGTTAGTGTTACTATTAAAGCAGTGACGAGAGTAATGCTCAGGGCCGTAAGTGTCGCTTCTGCTGTGCCTGTGCCTGCTGCTCACAGCTTCACACAAGGGCAGCTGACCACATTCTACGGGCAGAATCCAGAGGCACAGAGAACAGAACTGATGCACTCAAGCCAAAGATCCGGGAAAAGGCAGAGCTGGGATTAGAAGCCAGGTCTGTCTGGTTCAAGGGTGGTGCCCCTCCTGCCTGCCCTGCTGTGTCCCAGGCAGACACCTTCTGCTAAAGACAGAGGCGCCAACCCCTCCAGGTACTTCCAGTGCTCTACTCTGCCCAGGGAGTCAAGAGACGCCAGAGGGACTCCTCCACTCTCTCCAGCCCTGCCCACAGCCACCTCCAGAGGCCCCCAGACTCACCTGCTTTCCTGGTAGGCCAAAGCCGGGAAGCCCAGGCTCCCCCTTCTCTCCAGTCGGGCCAGGCAAGTGCACCACACGGCCATCCCCCTCCTGAGGCCTGGACAGCGCCAGGCACGGCTCACAAGGCTCCCCCTGAAGAGCAAGGGTGCCGGGTTAGGGGTCCCTAGGCCCCGGGGCCCTAGGGCTCCACTTGGGATCTGGGGCTATGAAATATAGCCAGAGCTGACATAGCTCCTCTGCTGGGCAGGGGGCATCTAGGAGAGACAGTGGGAACACAGGAGAGAAACCTGGGTGGGGACCAGGTCATCAGGGTCTTGACACCGGGCTAAGGAGTTGGATTTTACCCTGCAGGCAGTGAGGAGCCCACAGGGTGAACAGCAGAGCGAGATGAGTGTCCACCCTGGGGGGGGTGCCCACCGCACACAGGGAATGCCCCCGACTCACCTTTGCTCCTTTGATACCTGCTGGTCCCACTGGTCCTGGTGGCCCCTACACAAGAAGGAGCCAATATGATGCCCAGCCTCACCCTGGGCCATGCAGAGGCACAGCCCAGGCCTATCAGGTTGCCAGGCAGTGGGCAGCACCCCGGCCTTGTCCTCCCCCCTGGCCCTGAGCTGCTGCCATCCAACCATCCTTACCGGACTGCCGGCTGGCCCTGCCTCCCCGAAATTACCCTGAGGGTCAAACAGAGAACAAATGGTCAAAGGCAGGAGGCAGCGGCAGAGGGCTATCCAGAGCCTGGAACTGCAGGAGCAGCCCCCTGGGATGTCTAGGTCACCCTCTTGTCTCCTGCCCGGAGAAGCAGAGGCCTGAAGAGGGAAAAAGGAGTTCCCCAAGTCCCCAAGGGAGCCTGTGGCAGCCACAGGCTAGCAACTATGTTTCTGCTTCCTGTCTCACTTCAGAGCCCAGCTCCACCCTTGCCTGGGATCCAGCACCCAGAGGGCATCAATTCATTTACCCAACAGCTGGTTATTGAATGCCTTTCTGTACTGGGCTCTGGCTGGGTGCTGGGTTTGTGCGCAGCACAGACAAAACACCTTGTGGAGCCTGCACACTTGGAACTTTTTAAACAATAATCAAAAACAGTGATGAATGCTATGAAGGGGACAACCAGGATGATGAGACAGAAAGATGGGAGCTCATTTTAGACAAGGCGGTCAGAGCAGGAACAACACATTATATTGCCAGAGAGATAAAAATAAGATCAGCTGGTAAAAAAAAAAAAAACCTAGGGGGAAGGTGAGGAGGAAAAATGTTCTAGATGTTTCTAATGGGAGCCACCAGTAGAGAATCTAACAGGTGGGAATGGTCTTGAGGTATTCCAGAATGGAAGGAGGGCCAGTATGGCTAAAGCACAGTAAAGCAGAGGAGGGAAAGACCAGACGAATTTGGAAGGGGAGGCAGGGTGGGGTCATCCAGGGTGAAGCCCAGTAGGACTGTGGCACAAAGTCAAGTCCCTGAAGAATTGTAAGCAGGGGAAAAAATGTGATCTGAGCTCCTTTTTACAAAGCCACATTAGCTACTGGATGATAAATGGACCGTTGAAGGGCTGCAGAGGCCCCAAGCAGGTCAGAGGAGCTGCCGCCATCCAGGTGAGAAATGACGGGGACCCAGACTGAGGTGGCTGCAGCGGAGGTAGAGAGAAGCAGGGGCATTGAGGGAGGAGCTGCCGGCAGAGCTGACAGGACCTGCTGGAGGGGATGGTGGGGAGGATGACAGAGGGAAAGGAGGAGTCAAAGATGACACCAGGTTTGGGATTTGGGGATATGAATACATGACATTTGCTGACATGGAAAAGACTAGAAGGAGAAGCAGGTGGCGGGGCGGGCGGGGAGGCGCACAGAAACTCTGAGAAATGCCAAGGGGTTTGCCCGTTCGAGTCGAGTCTGCACACGTAGCTCGGTATTTCTCACACTTGGGTGCTCGTACGCCCACAGAACCCCTCATTTGAGTAACACCCCATTAGAAGTTCAACGCTGTCATTTGTCTCCCACACAATCATGAATACAAACGTTAACACGGGCACTGAAATTGAGTGACCCGGCCGAGTAGTGAAGATTATAGACTCTGGAGCCAGACTTCCTGGGCTCAAATCCCAGTTCTACAAACACCCGTGTGGCTTTGGGTAGCTTCCTCTGCTTCCCTTTCCTCATCTTTAAAATGGGAATAACAAACAGGGCACCTTCCCCATAAGGTGCAGGGAGAATAAAAAGAAGTTAATGTATGTGCAAGACTTGGAACAGTACCCAACACATACTAAGCAGAAAAGAAATGCTAAATATTATTTTACTATAATATAGTCTTGAATGTGCTTAAGGGTTTTAGATTATCATCAAACACGACAGAATTCTCTTGGAGAACATGAAGGCTCTCAGAAATCAATTGTTTGTCTCTGGTCTGCAAAACACTGATGAGTGCATTTCACCGTGAATTTACAGCTTGATCTCTGCCCCTGTGCCCTGCCCAGGGCCACCCCTGCCCTGCCTCCCTGCCAAGAAGCCCTGGCACCCCTCGCATCAAGCCCAGGTCTCACCTTCTCTCCTTTCAGCCCTGGAGCCCCAGATTTCCCCTGAAAAACAACCAGGACAGAGTCACAGCACCTGCCTGTTCCCAAGACCCCAATGTCCCAGTGTCCAGCCAGAAAGAGGAAGGTCTGATGCCCACCCTGCAGGTAGCTGGACAGTTTCTTCTGCTACAAATGGCACCTCCAGGGGCTCAGAGGAAACCCCAGGGTAAATAGCCCAGGGCAGCGCAGGGATGGAGGGAGGGATCAGGATACAGGCTTGGGACACCTGCCTCATGGCCCGCCTCCTGGTCCCTGCCCAAAGACTTAGGGCCTGAATAGCCAGGAAGGCCACCAGCATGGCAAGGGTGGGTCACTCACCGGAAGGCCAGGCAAACCAGAGCCAGGAAAGCCCACATCTCCTTTAGCCCCTGTAGAGGGCCCAAGATGCTGGGCTCCTACGACTGGGCTGCACGACGAACACGGCTCCCCCTGGGGAAGGAAGGCAGGGATCAGAAAGGCTCCCTGGAAGGCAGACAGGCAGCCAGGGCAGGGGCTCCCTCACCTTCTCTCCTTTGATGCCTTGGATGCCAGGGTCTCCCTGCAGAGAACAATGGTTTATGAGCTGAAACTGGGCATGTCAGGGCACCCCAAATTCTACAGCCATATATGAGGACAGCAAGGTGACCCAACACATGCTCTTCAAACACGCAGGGGTCCCAGGGTTCAAGATCAGCACCGCAGAAGGATAGGTGTCAGCCAGCACATGTAACAAATAAGGGAAATGAGGCCAGGAGAAATCACCCCCATGGAAAGCTCCTGTACGTACCCGATCACCTTTTTGTCCAGCAGTTTGCAGGCCCCCCTGAAACAGAGGATCTGTGAGACAGTGGGGTGGGGAGACCAGGCCAAGACCCCAGCCCAGCCCAGCCCTCTCCCTTCCTTTGCCTCTGGCCAATAACAGGCCTGGGCACTCACAATAAGGGTTGGATCCACCCCAGCTTCCCCAAAAGGCATCCTAAAGTCTCTTGGAGAGTCCTAGAAGGTTGCCATGGAGACCTGGGGTGACACTCTAGTTCATCCCTAAGCTCTATGGTTCATACCCCCTTATGGCCTTGACCTTCTGCCCACAATCTCTGTGGCCATGAGAGGCACCGAGTCCCTCTGCCCCATTCCTCTCTATGATCATGCCCCCAAGGTTGGTCTCTGTGTGTGAGGTGTGTGTTTGAGGGGTGTCCCTTCGTGGCACTTACCCTGGCTGGTGCAGGATCACCAGGTTCCCCTTTGGGCCCTGGCTTTCCAGGGAGCCCCACAAAGTTCTGGAACCCTTCAGGTAGCGTTGGGCACACTTCACAGGGGTCACCCTAGAAGAAAGGAAAGGCCACAGGAGCACAGGATGGGGCTGAGACCCCAGGGAATGTCAAGTGCCTCCTACTTGCACCAGCTCTAGAGACACTGGGTAGGTGGCCAGCACACTGTCCCCAACATTGAAGTGGACGGAAAGGCTGGGCGTGGCGGCACATGCCTGTAATCCCAGCATCTTGGGAGGCTGAAGCAGGAGGATCAAAGCCAGCCTCAGCAACTTAGCAAGGCCCTAAGCAACTTAGCAAGACCCTGTTTCAAAATAAAAAAAATAAAAAGGCCTGGGGATGTGGCTCAGTGGTTAAGCACCCCGGGGTACAATCCCTGGAACTAAAAAAAAAAAAATGTGGACAGCAGAAACACTGCAGGGGCCTCCTACCCCCCACACACCTCCTGGACATCACAAAACTACACCCCACAGCAAGCCATAAGGAATGAATGCGTCCCGCTGAAGCTTGGGTTGAGGGGAGCTAGTTCATTGACCTGCCTCATTCATAGACCACCTGGATGGCAGAGCCACATACCACACGTGCATTCCACAGGAATAAAGAAGAGGAGGGACATGGAGGAAGGCCTAGCAGCCTAGACCCAGAGCCTTGAGGCTGTGTTATCTGCAGAGAGGGGCTCCCACTCCCACCCCAACCTTGGGCAACCAGGCCTGGGACTCACCTTCTCTCCCTTCATCCCTGGTACCCCTGGCTTCCCCTGTTGGAGAAGAAGCAGGGGGCATTAGTGACAGGGTGGGGGCACTGGGGTGCCAAGCCCAGGGACCTAGCCCCCACCCTCAGAGGCCTTAAAGAACAGACCAGAAATGCTGGGTAGGGACACCCTCCCCCACCAGATCAGGGCCACTCACAGGTTTGCCACCAGGGCCTTCCTTTCCCGGCGTGCCAGAGCTGCCCTGTGGTCAGAAGAAGGTTAAAAGATGTGACCTCAGCCCATTCTCCCCTTCCCCATCCAGTCCCTTCTTTGAATGGCAGGACACTCTCTGCCAAATCTCCCATCTGTTCAGTAAACCCTCCCTTCCTGTTCCCTGTTCTCCTCCATGTCTAACTCAAACAAAAGAAGATAGAAAAGGAGGCCTCTGTGTACCTTTCCCTGGGGTAATAGGTGAGGAGGTGACCTGAGTGACCCCAGAGGAAACAAACAGACAAACAGACATTTTCAGGGACAGATATTTTCAGGGCTTTTTGCTCATCAAAAAGGAGCTTGGGCCCTGCAATGGAAGCCAATTTGTCATTACCAGGCTTAGGCCTGCCTGTCCCCTGCCTGTCCCCTGCCTGGAACACAGGCCAAGGCCCACCTCAGTGAGCACCAAGGGCCTGGCCAGGCTGAACTAAGCCACCTTAGTCAAATGCCTGGCCTCCTCTCTGGGACACGCTTGCTGCAGGAACCCCTCTTCCCCATTTCTTCCCTTCTAGACTGAGCAGGAGCCCCCCTCCATGTGCCCAACCCTGCCTGGGCTTACCTTGTCTCCCTTCGGGCCTGGAGGGCCACCTGGGTCCCCCTGAGGGCAGAAACAGGGTGGATGGAAGTTTCCCAGGGACCCATCACTGTTGCACAGTGACATCTTTCACCCTAAACCCTTTCCAACCAGGATCCCTGGACAGGCCTTACCCTCCCCAGCCATGGCCAGGGCAAGAGGGGGGGTCTCAGAAAAGGACAGCAGGAGAGACAACAGGGCACTCACTGGGGTTCCGGGCAGTCCTATCCCAGGGGGCCCAGGAAGACCGGGGGGTCCAGGCTCTCCTGCCAGACCTTCAGGCCCAACAAAGCCGGGGTCTCCCTGGCACAGACACAAGTGGGTGTGAGACAGTGGCCACCTCAGCCCTACTGCCCTCTGCACCTCCAGACCCTCACTCACCTTCTGCCCCTTGGGCCCAATGACACAGATCTCTCCAGGCCGGCCCTGTGGGGAGGAGGGCAGGGTGGAAGGACAGCCTGACACCTCCCCACTGAGACAGTACGTCCATCCTCACTGCCTGCCCCCTGGTCCCACTCCAGGTTGTCAAATGTCATCCTCAGGACACTGAGGTGGGGGTCTGTAGGCCTGGGTTCCGGGCCATTTCTTCCCCCTTCTTGCTGCGCCTCCTGAGCACAGCTGCTCCCCTCCCTGGGCCCTGTCCTCCCAGCTGAGCAAGGGCGGGTGGGGGGCATGCCCTGGCTAAATTTTAGCCTTTCCATCCCAGGCTGGGGGCTGTAGTGGGGGAGGGTCCCAAGCAACATACATCTCGGCCTGGCTTTCCCGGCAAGCCCTTGAGGCCTCCGTCACCCTTCTCGCCTTTCTGGCCCTGGGGAAAGAAGAGGCAAAGTGACCAGGAAAGGATTGGAAGAGCCCGGGAAGCTCCACCTGGGGGAGGGGCGACAGCCTTCCAGAGCCCTGGTCTCTGCCTCCCCTAAAACTGAATGGCTTCCACAGGAGGGCAGAGCTTCAAAACCAGCCAGGCCACTCACTCAGGGAGTCTGTGACATTTTCCTCTAGGTGGGGTGGGTGTTGGGACAAGGTGCAGGGGCTGGGAGGAATGGGAGGGGACTACCTACTCTGCCCACTGTCACCATCCTCCAGGAAGACCCTGGACGCCTCCCTCCTGCTGCAGGGCCTGCAGACCACCCCGACACCCGCCACTCCAAATCTAGGCCTGTTACCTTCTGGCCTGTGGAGCCAGGGAGTCCTGAGGGTCCCTGAGGCAAGGAGGGGGACACAAGAGGAGGGATGAGGAAGGAAGGGAGATGGTGGCCCTGACCGCCACCCCTGCCCGCTCCCTGCTCCCACACTCACCAAGCCTCCTGACTCCCCCTTCTCTCCTTTTGGGCCTTCTGCACACTGAACAGGGAGACAAGGTGTTGAGAGGGCCCCGGGCTGGCATGATGGGGTGCAGAGAAGCTGACCCGGTCGTGGCCCTCAAGTGGGCCTCACCTCAGGTCTTACCTGAAGTGGAGCGTCCGGGGAGATCCGAACACAGTCATTGCCCTGGGGGTGAGGAACGGGGATCTGAGCTGGGGCTTCCTGGGGGAGTCACCCTAGACCTGCTATATGAGGAAAGGCCCAGGTATTCCTGGAAAACAGAGGACTCCACATGCTGACCCCCAGAGGGACCCTGCCCTCAGCCCCCACTGGGTCAGGCTTGATGCTGAGAGGATGGGGTGATGGCTCACATCCTGTCCCACCCCCAGGACCCAGCTGGGGCACCTACCCGTGCTCCCTTCTCTCCTTTGGAGCCTGATGGACCAGGCAGGCCTCGTTCACCTTTCCCTCCCTGTGGGGGAAGCCAGATGGTGTCTGTGACCAGAGGGAGCATGTGGGAGCCTCCAGGAAGTGCTCCCCATTCCTGGGCTCCTCCACCCACCCATTCCATGAACGCGCACCCCCCCACACACATGTGCGTGCCCAGCATCCAGCCCTACCACAACCCCCACCTCGCACACAGCACATGGACTCCATACGCACCGTCCACATGCTCCTCCCACCCCGAGAGGCTATATTTGGCAAACCTATAGTCTCATGGCAAGGGTATCACGTCCACCGCGCCCATGTGCAGCTCATGCAGCACATCCGGAGAAGTACACAGACACACATGCACAGTCACACACACGCAGGTGGAGAAGCCCACCATGGCTGAGGATCAGGCTGCCTGAGTTCACATCTTGCCAGCATGTGACTCAGGGCAAGTCATGTCACCTCTCTGAGCCTCAGTTTCCCCATTAATAAAATGGGGTTCATGCCAGCTCCTGCCTCGAGGGTTGTGGCAAGGAAGAAGTGGGATGCTACAGGCAGGGTGGTGGCACAGAGCCTGGCACACAGTCCACTGTCCCTGAAGTTGGCTCCAGGAGTCGCATCGCACGTGAGCATAGGCAGGTGCCGCCCACCCCACCACCCACAGCTCTGTGGTCCCCTAGGCACAGGTACTCGGCTCAACCCCTGGTCACACATGCAAACATGTGTCCCAGAGAGGCATCTATCCATGTCCACACATACGGCTCTGATACACCCAGTCCTACACACATAGGCACAGCAAGGCCTGTTTCCCCTGGAGGAAAATGAGAGCACTCACCCTGCAGAACAAGCACTAAGCAGATCAAGAAGGTAATAGATGTGCCCACGTGTGGCCCCAGGCCTAGCGCACAATAGGGCATCAGAGAAGGGCAGCCCTGACATCTCTGTACACACACAAGTCCCTGCTCTGTCCAGCACACACACTTAATCGCCCCACACTCATACCGTTGAGAGTCCTGATATAAACAGACAGCCACAGGGCTACACACTATGGGATGGGATGGGGCCACCAAAGAAGGCAAGACCACCTTGTTTGCTATCAGGACTCACCTTGGGGCCAGAGGGACCTAGTGTGACCTGAGAGGACAAAGAAGAGAGTATTATGCCTTGGGACAGGAGGAGGAAACCAGGGGCCTGGAGAGGGCAAGCAATTCAGCTAGGGTCACACAGCATAGTGTCAGGACCCCATAGCCTGAATCTCAGCCCCTTCTCTGCCTCCCAGGCTGGTCAGTATGCTGACTCTATTTCCATGGCTTTAAAACTGGGTCAGTGGGAAATGAGGGGCAAGGCTTGTTTCCTAGGATCTTTCAGAGGGGTCTAATCTACTTTCTCTAACTGCCTGGCTTTGGCTAGCCCCACCCCCCAGTTGCTGGGATAACATGGCACTCAGTTGCCATGGTAACCCCTGCACATCTGGGGACCATCAGCCTTAGATTTGGTGGAGGACAGGATAGGAAGAGGAAAAGGCAGCAGAGAGGGTGCTTCCTGATGTGTCCCTCAAAATCTGGGGGCTTGGAGCTGAAGGGAGGTGGGGCGTGACATGTCAGAATGTCAAACTATGGAAAAGCAGTGACTCATGCTGCCCCAGGAAGAGGCACAGTTGGGTACCAGCTGGGCTCACACAGAGCCCCTTTCCCTGGTCCTTCCGGACCCCCAAAGGGAAGGTGGGCTAGAGCCAGTTATCAAAGGGGAAGAGGAAAATCTGCTCAGGCCCTGAAATAATATGTGGCTCGGGCTGTGTGAGCTGAGCCAGCTCGCCCCTTCCCTAGGCCTGCAAGGTGACGCGTGAAGCCTTCCAAACAGAGCAGGCCAGAGACCTGTGGGGAGTGCAGAGATGGGATCAGCAGCCAAGTCCTGATCCCATCCTGCCAGCCACCACCCCATGCCCATTCCACCCTGGACCCCAACACAGGGCAGGAGGCCATCTTCTACGCAGCCCTGGCTTGGTGGGGATGGGGGTGGGGTCAGGCCTAGCTCAGGGAGACAGCAGGGAGGGAGTGCGAACATGCACAAAGACCCCCTTGTCCTCAACCAGGAGGCAGCCCAGCCGACTCCAGGCCACATCCACGCCCAGCCCTCACCCACCCCATCCTGCACACCCTCCATTCACTCACGTTGCTCTCTCGGGCTCCGTGGACACAGGGTGGACACTGAAAGGGGAGAACAGGCCTGGAGGTCAATTGTGAGTCCTGGGGATCAGCCCTCTGCACCTCACCCCTGCCAAACACACACACACACACACACACACACGTATAGCACATGCCACACCCATAGAGCATCACACATGTCCTGGGTATGATCTGAGAGCAGAAATCCCAAAAAACAACCCTTGCCCCTCGCTTCCCACCAGCCTAGACCCATAGCCATTTTGTCATTTTCCAGATGAGGGGACAGAGTGGAACAGTAGTGGGCCCTGGGTCATGCGGCATGACAAGGCAGAGTGAAGAGCAGAAATCAGGGGTTCCATGGACAAGGCTGCCCTCCATGGCTACTGACCCACAACCCAGGAAGAGGCAGTATACAGACAGGCCAGGCATCTCTGAGGAATGTGGGGTTGTATAGGCCTCCATCGCCCCAATGTCCAGGCTCTGGGCCCCAAGGCCTTGTCCAAAAGTTTGTGTGATACCCCTCAACTGAGTTCTTTGGCTAGCCCACATGGGAGGCTTACCTCATGGGCTGCTGTCTCCTGATGGACCTGGGAAGAGGGGAACATGGGAGTGGGCAGGGAACTCAGGGGTCAAGCACTCTTCCAACACCCCTGCCCAAGAGCCAGCAGGAGTGGGCTCTCTAGAGAGGGCCAGGTACTGTGTCTCTTTCCTGCTCAGAGCTGGCACCTACGCGACCTGGGCTCTGTCCAGGCAGGAGGAGTGGGGGTGTCTTCTCCAAGGGGTTACACAGGGCACCTACAGGGCAGACAGAGGGCACTGCAGGCTCCTCCCCCCGCCCACCATCTCTACCTTCGTTCCCCTGTCAGCCTTCTGGTTGATTCTTCCCGTCAGCTGTGCATCCACCTGGACAAACAGAGCAAAGGGAGACCCCCCGAGGCAGTTCTTGGGCCTGTGCTAGAAAGGAGCACCTAGGGAGGGCACGTGGGCCCCAGGTACCCCCTCAGCCTGGCGTCTGGCACCTCCCAGGGTATGAGGCCACCCCCACAGGCGCCCCTTTCCCCCCCGCACCCTGGTGCCCATGTGATGTCGGAGAAAATAAGGCTGTGAATCAATGGGATCCTGTGTTCCTGCAGCCAAAGGCTGGCATGCAGCCCGGGTGGATGGGAATCAAGGGCCCTGCCAGGGGGCGGGGCTGAGGGAGGAACCAGGCTTCCCTGCCACCTCCAAGGAACCTGGGAGTGGACAGGGCAGCTGGCCATGGTGCTGGGCGAGTGAGGGAGCCCTGGGGGGAAACAGTGCAACCAGGACTCTGACCCCAGGTACCCCTGTTCTGGACAAAATACCTGGGCAGCAAGACTGGTCCTGGCCTCACCAGAGGGTCTGGGTGGCATCAGTGAGGGTCTGAGCAGTGCCCGAGCTAGATTGGCAAAGCTCTCAATACCAACAGGTAGAAGGGGCCAGGGTCACCCAGTGGGCTGCCTCCCTGAACCTACAGGGTGGTATACAATGGACAGGGCATCCAGTGCCCTTCCTTGCTTGGCACGTGACTAACTGACCGTGGTGGTGACCTCAGTAGGTCAGGGGAGGAGCATCTCTCTGGTGCCTGCCCTGCCTGCCCACCTTGCTGTTCTGAGGCTCCTCCAGGCAGAAGCAGCGAGTGTAGACCTTGCCCTCCATCTGTGGATTGATCTCGATGAGCTCATTGCTTTGTGTGTCCCGGCGGGCCTTGGAGGACTCCAGGGGGCACTGTTCAGTGTAGGGGAGGACTGGGGTCAATACAGAGGCAGGCTCATTCTAAGACCTCCCCAAGTCCCCTTCCAGACCCCCACCCCATCTTCAGCCCATTGTGCCCCTGGACAGCGTGCAGCCCCCAGCGGCTGTGTCTGGCCACCACTCACCCCCCCTGGCAGAATCTCACAGCAGCCCTCCTCCAGCACGAGCTCCGGGTCACAGTAGATGTGGGCCTGCTGCAGATCAAACTGCAGGGGATACACAAGTTAATTTCCTTTTCTTTTATCAACTAGTTCCTGCAAGCTCTCCCATGAGGCACAAAGATGTCCAGCCCACAATATGACCTCAGTGTGAGTCCAGTCTGGCCTGGGAGACCATCGAGAATAGAGCTGTCACCAAAAGCAAAACAAAACTGCACGTACAGGAAAGAGGGAGAGGAGGCTCAGAGTGACAGGCAAGAGGAGGTCCATGCAAGCTGCGCCGGCTCAGCAGAGGACGGTCTGTAAGGGAAGTCGTGCCAGCAGAGGTCCCCGCGCAGGCCAAGGCATGGAGGTGGCAAAGCACTAGGTGAGCTGGGTGACGAGGAGGAAGTGGAGCCAGAGCAGAGCTGCATGGAGAGACGTAAAGGAAGATGGTGCCAGGGACCCTTGCAGAAACCAAGACGCCAAGGGCTTGAATGCCAGGCTAGGCTGCATCTGGAGGTCCCGGGGGAACCAGGGAAGATTCTGAACAAGGCCAGATACAGACTCCAGGGTGCTCACTCAGGCTCCCAGAAGGTGGAAGAAGCCAGGGCCCAACCCAGCACTCACCGAGACGGGTTTGCCCTGCTCAGCATCCAAGCCCAGAAATACGTGGCCCACAGGTCGCATGGGTCGCCGGGGCCCCAGAGGCTGGGAGGAGGTTGAGATGCAATCCACATGGACGGAGGCCACGCGTCCAGCCACGCTCAGCATCAGTTTGTGCCAACGCAGGTCAAAGAGCTGGGGCACTGGGAAGATGCAGGACACAAAGTCGCCGTCTTGACCCTGAGCCCGGAGTTCCAGACTCCGCTCTTGGCTGTTGACTTCTAGGGAAATCTGTGCAGAATCGGAAAAGGGGCAGGCTAAAGGTTCAGAGCCCTAGAACCACCGTACAGCAAAGCCAAGGGCCCTCAAATTTATTTCACTGGGTGGGGGAAACGGAGAAGTACATCCTAAATGAATTAGGGTGGACCCTGGTGGGGGTGGGGGGAAGCAGGAAAGCCCCAGGAGTCACACACTGGGCTAAAAGCTGTGCTGGATTGGCACTACCCTGACGCCCCAAGGAGCTAAGAGGGCAGAGGAGGGGGCTGGGCTCACCTGTGGGTACCCATCGGCATCAGTCACTTGGAACAAATACCACGTGTTCTGGTAGGTGTGCTTCTTGAGCAGCAACGTCAGCACCAGAGCAAACTCCTCGGGTAGGCCCCGAGGGAACACTCGTCTGGGGATGGAACACAGGGGTGCTTGAGGCTCAGGACTGAAAAACCCACCCAAGACACACACAGGCACACACCTCCAAACACACGGCGCTCCTTCCCTCCGCGCACATTTACTGAGAGCCTTCTAGATGCCAGACGCAGGACTGGCTGCTGGGGAGACAAGTGGCAAAAATACAGAGAAGGCTGATGGTGGTGGGAGGTGGGGAGGGGAGGACGGACATACACAAAGAATCCCCAGAAAATGATATTTCACTCCACTATGATTTGGGTGAGGGCTTCTGGGGAATCCAGGACGCCCAGTGGTGAAGATTTGGGCCAGGGGTGGAAGGAGAGATGCCAAAACCAAAATGAAACAAAAGAACATGGAGAGGGCTCAGCGTGACCAGAGCAGCAAGAAAGAGGGAATGGAGCCCGAGGTAAGCAGGGGCCAGAACACCCAGAGACTGGTGGGAACTTGGACTTCACACACATGCGCACACACACACACACACACACACACACACTTGAGAGAGTCCTGCCTCCATTCTAGTGTTCTCATGGTGCCCAAGGGTTGCAGACCTGGTCCCACCCACTAGCCAGAGATGGAGGTAGGTCTACCAGGCGCCCCCTTGCAGCCCACCCTGCAAGCCCCAGAGGTGGAGATCAGGTTGATTCCTGGATGACATGACCCCCAGAAAGGCCCCTGGGCTTAGGCCCCACATTGAGTGGCTGGGGTGTGGCTGAGGTCAGTATCGATTCCCCGTGGTCACACTGATGCTTTTACCGCATGGGCTGGGTCAGTGGGGCTGCCCCCAGCCGCAGGATGAGAGGCCCCTTGGGGTTGCGGATCTTCTTGATGGCAGAGGTCTTCATGAGGTTGAGTCGGCGGATGAGGTTGAAGCCTTCAGGGGAGACACCAGAGGAAGAGCTCAGTGGGCAGGTGAAGAGGGCACAGTCCACTCCAGGAAGACGGCAGAGGGGGAGAGTGGGATGAGAGGGACACTCACCAGTCACGTTGGCTGATAGGTCACTACTGTGCTCCAGCTTGAGTCCCTCCTGCTGTGAAGGTGGACATTGCTCACCTGGAAGAGAAGGGACCAAAGGGCTTTAGGGGGACTCAGGATGGGGTACGGGCTAGCTGGCTCCTGGAGAACCTGGGAAGGGGCAAGTTTAGAGACCTCGTCCTGGACCTTTAGCCTGGTCCTGCCTTGAGGCCATACTCGCACTCCGACCCTGGCTGCCCAGGGATCCAGGAGGAGCCCAGTGTACAGCTGGGAAGACTGAGGCCCAGCTCAAGGTCACCGACCACAGGACCAGAACTCCAGGAACCTGAACCTCCCAGCACCCCCAGTCAGGGTAAGGCAGAAGTCAGAGGAGAAAAGAAACTCTGGGGAGCCCCAGAGCACAGGTGGAGTGGGGAGCCATGGATATCCATGAACTCCCTCCACGATATACACCAGGCGGGAGCAGAGGAGCACCTCAGGGTGAGGAAGGGTCAGGTGTGCGCACACTCCATGTTGTGTAAGAGTGCATGTGTTCATCTGCACATTTGTGAGTTGTGGACACTAGTGCTACTGGGGATGCCATGTGCAGCTGGCACACATGTTCTCTGTAATGGGTGGGGTTCCGATTCCCACATCCAAAGCAGACAAGCAGGCCAGACACAAGTCCCAGCTAACAGAATGACTTTTCACCTAGATAACCATCTAGTAAAACAGGGAGAAGAGACAGAGGGCTGCAGAGGACCACAAGCTCAAGAGCACCATCAGGGCCTCGGGTCCCAGGCAGGGCACACTAAGCAGGTAAAGGGTCCCGAAGAAGGGGATAATTTAATGCAAGTCTCCAAAGCCCTGAAGGGACAGGCGGGCGGCCATGATCCCTGTCTCTGGGGCTGACTGGGCAGAGTACTGAGGAGGTGCTACATCAGAGACATAGAGGCTAGAATCAAAAGGGCCTTGCCATCAAGGTAGGTGGGGAAGCTGGGGCAAGACAGTAAAGTCAGCTCCCAGAAGCCGGTGACCCCCCTGGCATCCTGTGTTCCTGGGCATGGTGACCCCACCGGCGTCTCCCTCCCCCAGGTCTGGACAGAAAGACCATCACTGTCTTCAGCATTGCAGCAGCCATGGGTGACTCACCCCTTGGCAATGGGCCCAGATTCCTTACAGATGTTGAAACTTTCTGCCCCAGCCCCCCAGGGGACCTAGTAAGAGAGAGGAGAACACAACTCCATACACATATGCAGAAACACACGTGTGGGCGCGCACATGCCCTCTCTCACGCACGCACACGCACAGAGCACACGGGATTGGCAGTCACACCTACTCCGCTGCACAACCCCTTTTCTTCTACTTCCACACCTTGGTTTTTCTATCCCCTTGGCTGGCTGGATTTGGGCTCTAGGAGTTCTGCTCCCGCCTGGCTAGGCAGTGCAGCCACCCAGCCCAGAGGGCACCCAGCAGGGCTGGGCAGTTGGCCACGTCAAATTCCCCTGGCTTTGAACCCTCGAAAATGCCCCCCCTCTACTCTATCCAGAGTCTGGGGCAGACTTTACTTCTGGGCAGCCCTTTGTGGAAGACCCAGGTTGGGGTGGAGGAGGAGCACGGGGCTGGAGCATGAATTCTCCACCATGAGAAGGAGCAGAGGCATTTTCAGGATGCTGCAGCTGCTCTCTGCAGGAGAACACAGCGCTGGCTCCTCCCCACCCCACTGGCCCCAGTTAGGCACGCAAAGATGGGTTTATGTACTGGAGAGGGGGCTGTTCTCCCCCCAGAGGCCCAGGACTGTGTATACATGGAGAGCCACTCCAAGATGCAAACACAGAGGTGCTCAGGGACAGAAGCATACACAGAAACACACGCACACACTCTCCAGCTCACTCTCCAGACTTGAGTCTGCCAACGCTTCAGGCCATCCTAAGCCCGGCCCCTAGACTTTCCCATGAATGCCCACGTGACCAGTACATACATGATCACATATGTGCAAAGGCCCCCGCACCTCAGGGAGCCAGTTGCAGACCTGTGGTGCCCCAGTCCTCCTGTGTTAGCTCACCTGTATTTGCCCCATGGCTGAAGGTGGCCCAGAGATTGAGCAGCCACAGACCAGGAGCCCAGGATACCCACATCCTGGTCCAGAGGGGTCAGCCACAGCCACAGCACCTGAAAACCACAGAGACCAGGAAGGCAAGGTCCTGAATTCCCATAGCATAACTCCACATGGGGGTGAATCCTGACAGCCCCCGGTGCCCTGGCTCTGGAATTGGGAGCCCAATCACATCTTGGGGTGAGCATCTGGGCAAGGATGATAATCAAAATATTTAACCACCGGTATGGCACGAACACCGGCCAGCCAGAGCAGAATACTGGCCAGAGCACTAAAACCAGGCCCTGGCAACCTCTGGCTGTGCCAGTTAAAGGGGATTGGTAGTTTTCTGGATTGAGAGAGCTCTAGAAAGGTCCTAGAAGGCCAGGAAAGTTGGGATAGTGATGGAACTTGAGGTAAAGGCTATTTATCAAAACAGTGAGAAGCAATTCGGTATTTGAGCACCGCGCTGGCAGAGAGCAGCCCAGTACCTGCCTAACTCCAGTTCCGGGCTCAGCGCACGCAGCCCTGCCAGGCACCCACAAGGTCAGGGGCTAGAGACTGGGATGAGTCTCCTGGCAGGTATTCCAGGGCTGTGTGTGGGCCAAGGAAACTTCCCCCAAGGGTACAGTAGGCGGTAGAGCAGGTCGCCAGGGCTCCGGACCTTGGTGCCAACCTCCCCTGCTGATGGATGCTCGTCTTTTAGTTTTATTAAACCCTGATGGATGGGCCCAGATAAATCAATGCAGGCTCAGCAAGCGGCCCTCAAAGCCATACATCATTCGGCCTCTTCCAGGACAGGCAGCTCATGCGCACAGAGCCAAGTGTGTGTCAGCTCAACGCATGCAGATGCACAAGCACAGACACACGTGGTACCGGTGAGTGCATACAAGCCTACCTGCACACAGGTATGCTCACGTGTGTGACACCTGATAAACCCAGACATCCCAATTTGCATATGTACACATGCACACAGCCAGCCTGTGACCACCCCTCCAGTAGGCCTTCCTGTTGGGAAGTTCTTATGCAAGTTTGACCTCATTCCTTCCATTGGAATCCTACTTTTCCTCCCTTGGTCCTGGATAGGAAACGTGAACAGAAGGGACCCCTTGTTCCAAAATATTTGGAGGCAGGCTCCTGTCCCTTCTCCTTAGGACAGAAGTGTGCCCTCACCCTATTCTTCCCGGCCCCTGCGGTGTGCACATCCCACCTCTCAAGCCCCATTCTGGCCTTCCGCTTCTGCCAGCCAATGGCAGAGCTGCCAACTGTGGGTGGCAAGTGGGTACATGTGGAGGCGTGAATGTGGATGTGTTCCTGTCCTCTTCCGGTTCCCAATCTCTGACCTCCGCTCCAAGCCCCAGTCTGACTGGAGAGCTACAGGGAGCAGGCATGGAAGGAGACAGGCTTTCAAGGAAATGTCCACCTCAACACAGAGGGACAGATTTGTGGGCAGGGAAAGTAGAACCAGAATAGAGATTAGAGCTCATTCCTACCTAGCAAAGAGGACTGAAGCTCAGCGAGGGGATGCCACTTGCCCCAGGACACACAGCAAGTCAGGGGCAGAAAGGGCCTTTGAGCCCAGAGCAGGGAGGCAGCCCAGTCCATGCCCACTTACCAGTGGCCGGTGGCCGGGTATATCCTCACCCCCGCTGAGCGATCCAGGCAGCCTCAGGGCAGCGGGCTAAGGGAAGCAGGGGCTGGGTTCCACCAGCCACCTGGAGTTCCTCGATCTGTCCCTGCAGGGCCTGTCCCCGGCTTCCCGGCGCCCCAGCTCTCCGGGCTGAGTGCAGCCGGCACACGCCTGCCGGGACTGCCGGCCACTCGGGTGGGGGAAGAGGGGCGGTTCCAGGGGCTGGGGACCTGCCAGCGCGGCTAATGCTTCCCAGCTGGGCCAGCCCGCCGGGCCCTAGGAGGAGGGAGGCGGGAGGGGCGGCGGCGGCAGGGGCTGCTGGCCGCGGTCGGACGCGCACCCGCTCCCTCCCGGCCTGGCCAAGCGCCCGGGCCCGCCCCTCCCGCTTCCCCGCCAGGTGAGCGAGCGAGCCGGGACCTGCGTGCCCAGAGCTGCCCTGGAAGGGGCTCCTGCGGGCGGCGGGAGGCCCAGCGCCTGAAGAGCCAGGCCTGGAGTTGAGGGCCCCCGGGCCCCCCTTCGTCTTCCCCGCCGGCCGAAGGCTGGGGGGCGGAGACCCTCCTCCCAAGATCTTGGAACCCGTGACGTGGCTGCTGCGCAGGCTTCTGTGGTCAGTTTTTTCCAGTTCCTCGGCCTAACATTCCCAGTCTGTCCGTCTGTCTGTCCGCACTGGAGCGGGACAGAGGATCCCCAGCCCCCCAACCCTGCGTTAAATTAACCCCTTCTGCTCTGGCCTCATTCGCAGAGTAGGGAAACTGAGGAATGCCCTGTTCCTTCTCAGTCCAGAGGAGGAGAGCTCACATCCCTGCCCTCCGCTGTGGTTTGTGGCTTCAAATGCACTTCAAATGCACTGGACTCCACTTGCCCGTCTGTGAGATGGGGTCACCATAGTATCTGCCTCATATACCTTAGTTAAAGGAAATGAGTTAGTCTGTGAAAGCACTTAGACATGGTCTGTCACATAGGGGAGAAATATTTGCTGCTGTTTTCATTATTATTGTGATCCTTGGCAGAGGATGGTGGGGGTGGGGTGGTTGCTTTATATCCAGGTTCTAAGGAAGCAAAAGGAATTGAGGTTGGATGAAAGATGAGACTTCTGAGGAGGGAAAAGCAGGGGAGATGGACTAAGGTGAGCCCATGTGCAGAAGGGTCTCCCCCAAGGGGCAGCCAACAACTTTCTTGGCACCAAGATCGAGGGGCTTCAGAGAAATGGGTTCAGGAAGCCCAGGAGTGGTAAGGAATGATGTGGGGCTGAGCAGGGAGCAACTGGAGGGCCTTGATTTGGGGAGTGGGCTTCCTGCAGCCGCGTGTAGCCACAGGCCTGTGGCTCTGTCTAACCCAGGCAGGGAGAGACCGGGCCTGGGATTTCCCGCCTCCAGACTCAGAGGCGCTGAGTCAGTGGAAACCCCAACTACCTCAGGCCACAGAGGCGCCCCACTGTGGTCCCTGCAGAGGAGCTGGGCCCAGATGTGGTGGTGACAGTGGTGGGGCCTGCGAAGTGCTGAGCTCAGCAGGCAGGAAGTGCAGGGGGTGGGACTTTCTGAGGCTCTGGCTTGAGGAGTGGGCAGGCACAGTCCCAGCAGTACTGCCCAGGGCTGGGCACAGGGAGAACTGGGGAAAACGTATGGGCCAGGCTGTTTGAACAATCCCACATCTGCCCTTCATCTTTACAGCAACTCTGTGAGGCAGAAGTCTATGCTCAACCCCATCTTGCTGTTGGAGAAAGGAAGCAGAGGAAAAATGTAACTAGCCAGGATCACGCAGCTAGTCCGCGGTGCAGCAGAGACCACCATCCCTGAGCCTGGACATCATCCTGTGTCATTCTGGCCACTCCCACCCCTACCCTGATCATGCCCCAAGCAGTGGGTGTCTGGGCCAGAGCAGCCAGAGCCAGGGACCCAGGAACCTGAGAAGGGGGAGTTCAGATGCCTTCCCATAACACCCCAAGTGCACTCACAACAGCCAAGCCTGGGACACACCCTCTGCTTGGATCATAAACGCAATGTAAAAATGTGCCATGTGCCTTCCTCACTCTGACCATGTGTACACAGCCAGACGCATTCTCTCGCAGCACTTAGGTTGCACACTCCACATGCATCCATAGACACTCATGTTCACACATAGGTGTGCACACGCACAACATATGCCCTCCTAAAGAGATACACAAGGACATAGGTAGGAACCAGGGGACCTCACAGAAATATATCCCTGGACATATCCAAACATAGACAGGCATTTCATTCTCAGAATGTATGCATACAGCACTGCATGTGTTTGAATGTGCAGACACAGCTACGTGTGTACACATAGACGTGTGCACACATATACATAGAATTATACCTGCAGGCATAATTACTCAGCTGTTCAAGCAGAGACCCCTGCACACCTGTGGTATATAAACACATGTGCACACAGACACAGGTGGCAACATGGACTCTGTCCCCACAAGAAGATCAGTCATGCACACACTGACGTGTGTATGTAAGTCCATGTATCGATGTGGACACATTTACATGCATTCGGCCCCAGAAAGTCAGCAAGTGGGGTATCCCGTGGGGCCAGGCTCAGTGCCCTCACCCCAGATGGCATCACAACAAGATAATCAACGCTGCTAATCGCCACCAGCTGCCCTGGAGCCTGCCTGACGCTGCCGGGTAGAGCTCCTGGGCATCCTGGGCCTTGGGTAATGTGCCCAGATGTTGGCAATGCTCAGGGCCCCCTCCCAGTACTCCCACTGGGCACTGGGGTAGGGCCTGGTCCCAGGATAGACCCGGAGCCCCCATACATCCAAGCAGAGGTGGCTCGCGTGTCCTCGTCTTGCAGTGGTCCTAGGCCTCCAAGCACACACACACTCTTAGGATTTGGCATAGGTGCACACGGGTGCGCACACAGACGTGTCACACATGATGGATTGCTCTCTATGGATCTGTCCCTCCCTGGTTCCTCATCCTGGTAAGTATCACCATAATTCATTTGGATGTGCAGGCTGAAAACCTAAGCCTGGCTCCTTCCTTCCTCCAACAGTCCCATCCAATCTTGTCACTTCTACCCCAAAACACAGGACGCATCCGAGTACTCCTCCCTACCTCCGCTGCTACCACCCTGGCTGGAGTCACCATCATCTTTGATGCAGCCCACTGCAGGGGCTCCCAGCTATTCCGCCCACTGCTGGGGACCACTGCTCTGCCCCTGCCCTGCAGCCAAGGAGACACTCCCTGACCTCTACCTATGGGGTTTCGAGGTCTCAGTATACACAGAATAAAACCCCAGACCTTTCCTTCAGCCTCACCAAGACCTTCATGATCTGGCCTCTGCCTTCCCATTGACCACCTCTCCCCAAAAGCTGTGCCTCCCCGACTCCACCCCCCACTTCCTTTCTCAGCCCTGAATTTACCACATTGTTTTTGCCTCAGGGTTTTTGATCCTGCTTTTCCCTCTACCTAGGTTGGACCCCCAATCTTTGCCAGGCTGGCTCCTTGCTGTCCAGGGCTCCCCTCCCCAGCCAGCTCCTCAGAGTGGTCTTCCCTGACCTCCAGGCACGAGAAGCCCCCATCACTCCCTACCACGTGGCTCTGGTGGAAACCCTGCACAGCTCTGGTGTGTGTGTGTGTGTGTGTGTGTGTGTGTGTGTGTGTGTTGTCCTTCTGAGTGACCCTGGACACCATTACTATTGCCTTACTGATCCTGGAACCCACCCAGGAACCCGTTTCCCTCTGCTCCGGGACGCCAACTCTGTACCTCTTTCTCTTTATGTCTCTGTTCTCTGTCTCTGTCTTTTTTCAATTTCTGTGTCTGTGTCTTTGTCTTTGTCTCTATCTCTGATTTCCATGCCACCATCTCTATGCTTCTGTATCTAGCTCTACCCTGACTCTTAGTGGTATCTCTCCCTATCTCTGTCTTCCCATGTCTCTGTTTCGGTTTAGGGCTCCATCTTTCTGGCCCTGTCTCTCTTTCTCTCTTTCTCTCTCTCTCTCTCTCTCTCTCTCTCTCTCTCTCTCTCTCATTCCCATGCTCCTTGCCCTAAATCAGCACTGCCACCACGTCTCCACAGCTGTCCGCGTTCCTGTGGCAGGGAGACCCATCTTTCATCTCTGGCTGGCAGCTTTATGGTCCTAGTGGGAGGGCCAGCACTCCACCCTGCTCATGCCCCATCTGCCCTATAGGGCCATGGCAAGCCCCTCACAGACACCCTGGGCCCTAGCGATGGCCATCCATCACCCAGGCCCAGTTACCACATTTTACTTCAAGTCATTCATGTTACTAGGCACCTGCTAGGTTTGACCACCCTAGAGCAGCTGGAAAGGTGAAGCCAGACGCTATTGGGCATGGATGTGGACATGGCCACGGTCAGGGCAGGGAGAGGCTAGGGGAGGGCAACACTCCAGTTATCATGGGCCCCACCTCAGTTATCCTCTGGGCTCTGCCACCTGTTCTGAGGGACTATGGAGAAGTAGCAGGCACAAGAGTCTTCCCTCTACCCACTGCATAAGCCTGGGCCTCCAACCCTGTAGGATCCCAGCTTGACCCACCTTGCCTGGTGTTAAAAGCACCTGAAAGCAGGGCACCTGCTCACTCCACCCCGTGGTGCTCCACAGGGAGGCAATACTCCCCCCAACCCAGGAGATACTGGACAGTGTCGGGAGACATTATTGATTGTCACAACAGAGGAGGAGAGAGGTGCTGGCATCCGAGGGTGGAGGCCAGGATGCAGACATCCTACTAAGCACAGGAAAGTCCTCTCTCAATGAAGAATTGCTGGCTCCAATGTCAGTATTTCCAAGGCAAAGAAGCCCTGCACTGCTCCCAGAGGAAGCTCCGGCTCTGCAGAATCCCACATTCCGTGTCCTCCTTTAAACTCTTAATCATACTCTGACCAGGGGTGGGAGTCATTAGAAGACTCAGGACACCAGAGTTTGATCTTGGCTCTGCCTTTAATAACAGCAGCTAGCATTTATGGAGCCCTTCTGAAGTGCCGGCTGGCACCATTCATGAAGACACTCAATTCAGTCTC